CCCACATAGAGGGACCTCTCAAACTTCTTCCGCTCCGCAGGCGAATCCCCAGTCTCAGCGCCCCCGAAGATCACCTTGATCTCCAACTTCTTCTTCCCGCCGTTCGGGCCGAGGGACCCCTCCGGACGTTTGTCAGCACTCCGATAGTCTACGTCCTTTGGTTCCGCCTCACGCCGATCGTCGCGGCGCCATGATCGCGACCTGGGATTCGGCTGCCTCGGGTTATTCTTCTTCAGCAGTTGGGTAAACTCGCCCAAGTAGCCTTGCCGGATCAGCTCGTCGATGGCCATTCTCAGCTGCTTGCAGTTGTCGGTGAGGTGGCCGACCCTCTGGTGGTATTCGCAATATGCGGTCTCATCATGACCCATAAGTGCCCTCTTGTCTTGGGGCTCCCTTAGGATGCCCTTGTCTTTGATGGCGTTGAAAATCTGGCTGACGGGGTAAGCCAGAGGAACAGGGTACTCATCTGGACGCAGGCGGCTGGCCTCCGGATTAGCCTTCCACGGAACCATGCCGCCGTCCGTCTTCTTCTTTTTGTTTGGGGGGGATGGTCCGCCCCCCGGGCCGAGCCTATCCGCCAATTTTCGGGAAGGGGCTGCAGGCGCGCCGTCCCTCAGTCTGATCTCCTCCTCAATAGAGGCGTACTTCTGTGCCCGAGCCAGTACCTCGGTGTAGCTGGTGCTGGGGTTCCTCCGGAGGTCCCGGTATAGGTCCCCCGTTGCCAGGGCGCTGGTGAACATGTTCACTCCCAGCCGCTCGTCCAGGTCATCCACCTGGAGTACTTCGTCTCTCCATCTGACCAGGAATTGGGCCAGAGGTTCGTCTTTTCCCTGCTTCACACTGGTGAGCGATGTGAAGCTCTTCTTGGGGGTGGTGCTGGCAGCGAATTGCGCCATGAACTGCTGGGACAGCTGCTCGTAGTTGTCGATAGTCCCGGGTCTCAGCTGCCCGAACCATTCCTGCGCTGGCCCCCTCAGGGTGCTGAAGAAGAGCCGGCAGATAGCCTCATCGGAGGCTCCCAGCATAGAAAGGTTCCCCTGGAAGCTGATCAGGTGAGCCTTAGGATCTCCGGTCCCATTGTACACTATCCCTTGGGGGGCCTGCAGTCCCGCGGAATCTCTGCATTCATGACCCTCGGAGTGAAGGGTGAAGTGAGGGAGTAACGCGGCGTGGCTGGGGTGGCCTCCGCCCGTCTGTCTATTTCGGCTAATCGCCGCTCCATTGCCTCTAGCCGGGCCTCGTGTGCGGCCCTTCCGGGGGACACAGGAGGTGCGGCCTCGAGCGCAATGTTCCTTCGTGGGGCAACCGCGTCGGGTTGCCTCCGTGTGATATGGGCGCCATGTCTTTGGAAACGTCGTCCAATGTTACTGGCGGCGGGGGTAATGGCGGTGCCCCGCTGCTCGGAGGGAACATCCGGCGTGCGTCCTCGGTGGTCATCCTGCCAACCATAGCGGGGGGTGCTGGCGCTGGTGTGCCCCCCAGCTCCATGGGTGGACGGATTTTGGCCCAACCTCATGTGGATGGGCGTCCGGCGCCCGGCAGATTCCGCTGTCTCATCCAGGGACTGCATGCGGTGGACGGGTGATATGGGCGTCCAGATAGTGTTAGCTGAGTGCACCTCTTCGTTCGCCTCCTGTTCGTCCGCCATTCGGCGCATCGTTTCCGCCAGTTCCCTCATGAGTCGAGGGTCATGCCTGGCTTCATGGGGGATGAGGTTTGTGAGGCCACCCTCTCCCCCGGTTGTCCCCAACGTCTCGGAACGTTCCGTGGTTTGCCCGCGGTTACTTCGTCCGCGGGACAGCTGCTCGGAAAGGTCACGTTGACGGTTGTTTCTTGTCATCTTGCTTGCTGTGGGTAGATTTGGTAGCTGTTTGGGAGAGTTTGGAAACTTTTAGTTCAGTTTCCCACAGACGGCGCCAGTGTTGAGGTTTATTCCTTCAACCTTCAGACCCAACACGTAAGCCCAAGGGTTTCGAATGGAGTGTGTGTGAATAAACTAGCCCAACAAGCAGATAACAAGGGTCAAGAAACGATAAGGTAGCAAGTAAATGATTAGGTATTATTATCTCTTAATAACTCCCTAATACAATACTTTTCGCTAAGGCTCCGTCGGCCGTTCGTCTTACAAGGCAGTAGAAGTGCTGCGAGTAAGAATGCTATAGCTAGAGTGCTAAGAATAGAAAGTTGCCAACCCTTTACAATGAAATAAATGCTTCTATTTATACCCGCCAATGGGCAGGTGGCTATGCTGACGTGGAGGCCTGTGGACCGCTTGTGTCCCAACCACCAAATCTTCTGCATTAAATGCACTTCCCGCCAGAATCTAGGTTTCCCGCCTAAATAATGGGGACGTTCGCCCGCCTGGGAGCGAGCTGGGTCGCTCCAAGCGATCCTCAAGAGGTTTCGGCTGTTCGTCTCCTGGCCTTGTGGATTCTCTCCATGTGGACTGGATTTCCTCCGACGATCATGGGCCTGCTCAGGAGACGTTCGTCGCCATCCTTGATGGCCCGTGACTCTGCTCCTTGTCCCCTCACAGACGTTCGTCGCGATGGGCCATTGAGCCTAAAAACCCCTCAACACAAGATGTTCGTCCCTTTCCAAAGAACATGGGCCTGCGGCTAATCCTAGTGTCCTAACTGGTCATGCGTCTGGTAGAAAGGGGTTAATGGGCCGGACCTCGGTGTTGGGCCATTAACCCAACATTAATAAAAAGTATTTTAAATATAATTTTTCATGAATAAGCAGAAGCAACTAATCCAGTCACTTCGGCTAAAACTTCATGAATTTTAAACTTTTATACTTTTGTAAAAGCTTTTTAGGAAAGAATAATGTTATTTGCCAAAAAATAAAGAATAACTCCATAGAATTTTCATACTTTAAATATTTTTGTATTAAAAATATTATTTGTCAATATAACCAAATTTTATACTTTATCAATGTTGAAAACTCTAACATTGAAAACTCTTCTAAGTGGGCCAGTGGCGTCCAACTAATGACTAATTGACTACTAGTACTCCATATATTTTAACTTAAGAAATATTCCCTCAAAAAAAAAATCACTCAAAATAAAAAACTCAACAAATACTCCATTACTCGTATTTAACTATTAAGCATTTAAGCCTAATACGAATTGGCTAGCCGTACTACGTGCTCAATAAGGAGCACGCAACACGCTCGTTAAAATTTTTGTGTAAACATAGCCTAAGCTATTTAAACATGCTTTTATATAGCAAAGGTGAAAGTCAAAATGTTACAAGTATTAAAGAATGAGGATGATATACTCTTGATGGAGTATATTCTCATATATCCCAGGGGTACCGAACATTCCATACAAATGAAGTCTCCAGAACGCTAAGTCAATATTCTGTCGAGGCTGACATCGACCCCTCAAGGTCGGCACGACATCGGGCTCCCAGATCACCAAGATAAGGCCAAATCTGAGGCCGATCTCGAGCGCACCGAGGTCGTTACCAGATCTGACCTCGAACACGGACACAAGTCAACGTGAATCAACATGAATAAAGAAGTGATCGTCACCTGATAAACTGAAGACCGCGATTAAATCCTATTGGATGAGCTCGCTATACCCGAACTTTGACCTCATGGAGCTCGGGGACTCACTAGCCAAATATGTCAGCAATCAAGTATCGCACAAGCTACAACCAAATATTTTACCAGATTTTCAGCTCTAGGCCAGATTTACCAGATAACAAATTACATTAGACTTAATATATCAAATCATATCAAACATAGAATATAGTAAAACACACATACACCATATATCGTTAAGAGATCAAACCAATTTTAAACATATCAAATTGGAATAGATCAAATTTAAAAAAAAATAGACCAAAGCAATTGAGTCAAATAAAAACTTCCCATTTCATATATAGTCCCTACATCCCACATAACCTAGTCAAAGTTGTTTTCCACGGGAATAATAAATTTAAAACTATATAATTGAGATTTGTACTGAAGGGAGAGTAATAACTTTAATAACATATTTAGGACTTTAAATATGACAAATTTTTTGGATGGTTGAATAGTAAAAGTTGTGATAGAGTATATGGGCCTGAATCCCATGACCCACATACTCCAAGGTCAAACACGCTAGCAGAGCACCACGTGGCACGCTACGGCTAGTGGGGGCCCGCAACGGCCTAGGGCCAGAGCAGCCCAAAACGCCACCTGGACTTTTGGGGCCGCATCGGCCCATGAACCACATCATCCAAAGGACCGCATCGGCCAGAGGATCGCATCGGCCGAAGGACCGCATCGTCCAAAGAATCATCTTGACAGATTATACTTTCATACTTTATTTACTAAGTGTTGTACTCAGCCCATTAGTGGCCCTATTCCGCCCAAAGAAGACATTATTATTGTAATGGGCCTCCTAAGCCCAAGGCTAGGGGCCCGAATCCACATTTTTACCTATAAATAGACCCCAAGGGGCTAGTTATAGCCTATAACTACTAGGGGGTTGAGAAATATTAATTGCTCACTTTCTCTCTCTAGAATTAAATACTCTATCAAGTTGATAATATTTTTGGGAAGGATGAAGTTGTAACATGCCGACCCAGCAAAGTCTAGGATCGTTACACTTATACTACCTCCGTCCCAAATTGAGTTGTAAATTTGACTTTTTTGGTCAAACAGTTTCATTTTATTTGTTTAATTGGGATACCAATTTTCAATTATATTCTAATTTGGAGTTTGCAACTTTGAAGATATTTTAATGTAGTTTCTGAATATGTAAATTTTAGTTCTTAAATATTGAATTAATTTTCAATAGGGAGCATTGCCTTTTAATATTGATTGACAAAAAAAATGTTGACTTTGCAAAACAAATTGGGACGGAGGGAGTATGTGTTTTGGGCCCAATACTGCCCTCACAAAACCAACATAAGCTTTTATCACACACTTTGTCCTCGCTCATGCACACTTTGAGAAGCTGGAAATTCTCGGGGGGGGGGGGGGGGGGGGGTCAATCTTTTTTTTTTTTTTTGGAAAAGGAGATTTTATTCAAATAAAATAAGAGTACAAAGAGAAACATGAAAAATAGAATAAAATTACATGAAGTAAAAATTAAAAGTGCTAAAATAGAGCAAAAGTATTACAAAAAAAGATAAAATAGCTACTCCCATGGGAAATCTCTTGATTGTGATCTGGTCTTCATGCTATGCCGCCTTTTATTCTTTTGGGATTTCCTGTAGATTTTTAATTGTGTGTTCAGGTTGTCGGTAGGCAGACAATTTTCTGAGGTTATGAAATTCGCTTTGTGGCAGATCGCGGTATTGAATTTTGATTTCCTTATTTCTTCCGGGTACGAAATAGGAGGACGGCGATCGCTCTCAGTTGCATGTCCCAAGAAGTCATCTGTAAAAAATGAGTCATCCGAGTGGTCAAAATCATCAAATGCGTCAGAGTAAGCCTGGATCATTGGCAACAAGGGTTGTTTCCCAGAAGAGAAGACATGGTTTTTTTGAGTAGCTGCCGCCTCGATCTGATAATTAAAAATCAGTTTGGATATGGATGTGGAGTCCTCAATTTGTAAAACGCTTCCGAGTTGGAGAGATATTGAGTCGTCCTGCGATGACTTTGAGAGCCCTACAAATTGGTATGATTAGTACGATTGGTATGATTAGTACGTACTCCCTCCGTCCCGAAATAAATGTCTTGTTTGCGTTAGCACAAGTTTTAAGAAAGTGATTGAAAAGGTAAAAGTTGTGGTTGAGATTTGAGTAGAAAAGGATGAATTGATATGAGCCACATATTATTGTCAAAAGAGGAAACAAGACATTTATTTTGGGACGGACCGAAAAGGAAAGAAGGACATTTATTTTGGGACGGAGAGAGTACTGTTAGTTCTTTTCAGATTTTGCTAATGTTACAAGCATCCACTTATGTTTACAAGCTCCTTAAAGGAAGGTGCACCTGATTATCCGACAACGACATTTGTTTAGTGCTTTGCAAATGAGGAAGTGACATCATGCTTTCCAAATATATGACCTGGTTAAACACATTTTTGTCTGTATGTAAAAGTAATCAAATTTTGAAAATTGACTTTAATTTTGTACGTAGTAATATTTAAGGAAAACCTCAATATCTTTGAATCCATTTTTTAAGATCTAAAAACATTATAATTGGGAATAGGTGTTAGTATCCTTAATTTATGTCAACACACTTTGAGCTTGGAGAGTTGTACATTACTTTTAGAAAATGAAACCTCACTTTTTAAGTGGCTATTTTACCCTTAACTCCGTTAGTTGTTAAATAATATGGAGTACTTGATGATCGAGTTAGTGATATGGAGTACTTCGTATGAGCTTGGCTTGTGAATTACGTACGTAGTACATTACTAAAAAGTAATAATCAGACCTCTTCGATGCATCACTTTGCTTTCTAATCAATTTTGATCATGTGTACGATATTTAAGATTTTCGGATCTTGTGTAGCATTTAAATTTGGGCCTTTTAAAAAAACGAATCACTTTGATAAAAATGAAACACATGATCTTATCTGAAAACGGGCCCAGCGACAAATACTTTTTCCATACTTTTTTCCCTAAATAATATTACATCCATTACAATTTAATTTTAACTGTATTCTCATAAATGTTTTGTGTATTTTAAATTATGTAATTAACACCATAAAATTACATATGTGATAAGATATATACTCATGATGCTAACATAACTTTTTATATAAAGTTTGGGGTATATATATTACATGTGAAAGTTTGGGGTACTCATCTCACACATATTCAAAATTTAGGATATTTAAATTCTTTTCCCCAAATATAAAACATGGAGTACATCTTAATCGCACAATTTAAGAGCTTGTTCCAAAACCCCTACTTTTATTATATCAATTTTATCTCCCAACCAGTCCTATACTAGATATCTCCTTGCTTGTTGAGCACCGATAATTTGATTTTTTTTATTTCTACACTCAACATCTACACTTACATATAATAGCCCAATATTCACATAATTTAGTGTGTTCAATAACACGGTCGACACAATTCATTATAAAATCTTGTTATCACTACAATTATTTCATAATTAAACCAAAATATTTGGCCAATTCAATAAAATAACATAGCTTTAGAAAATATAGGCAGAATTTTCACGCAGTAGTTGGTGAGTTGAACATATAATTGATGAAACAATTAATCAAAAGTTTAGGATAATTATATACATTATTTAAAAATCCTCATAGCAATCTCATATATAATAATCTCTCATAAAAAGAGTATGACTTTAACATTGGGCAAATATTCTCGCGCCTTGCGCGATCAAACGCTAGTTTTAATATATGTTTTTAAAATGACAAGTTTTGTACAGACTTTTATTGTTAAAGTCCGGTTGCTAACACTGAAATTGGATGATGGGCTCATTCCGTTGAAATTGATTAAGTTCTGACTTCTTCTTGCTGAATTATGAAATCATTATACTTAAAATATATTTATTTAATAAAATAAAATAAAAATATATGAAAAATAGATAAAATCATCCTCTACAATAACTTCAATCAATTTAGCCATAATATTATTTTGATTACTACCCCAACTCAACACACAAGATCAAAAGTTATGTGTTTGGCGAAAAAATGGGATAAGGGTCGAATTAGACATTATGGATACATGTCAATCTCATACTGGCCACTAATGTTTCAAATGGACCAAACCGGACACTATAGTTACATGTGAATCTCATATTAACCACCAAGGTTTCATAATTCCTTGTTTTTGGAAACTCATTTATGATTCTCTTCTTCCTTTAATAAAAATTGTTAGTCTAATTTTTCCTTTCCTTTTTGTGTTAATAAACTAATTTAATTTATGTATATAATTTTGGAATATTTAATTTGAGGCTTTAGAATATATAATTTGATTTAATTAATAACTTCTAATATTTAACAAGTTAAAAATATATTTAGGACTTTTCATTCTTATAATTTTTATGGGACTTTGGGGAATAATGGTTAGTTAATTGATTTAACAATATTAAAGACTTCAATTACATTATACTCCGTAATAGATATTCTTAATCGGAACATCTAATTATATATTCTAAATCTGAATACACGAATTAAGTTATTTTTACTTTTTAGGTACATAAAACAAAGGGAAAAATTCCATAAAATAAACAAAGGGAAAAATGAATACTTATAACTTTCAAATGTGAAAAATGATCAGAAAAACGTTAAATTTGACCCATTTCAAATTTTAGTGTCCAATATGAGATACACATATAACCATATTATCCAATTTGGTCCATTTGAAACCTTAGTGTCCAATATGAGATTTACATGTAATCATAGTGTCCAATTTGACCCTTATCCCACGAAAAATTTGAATGATAAGTCTAATAAGCCGAAAATATGAATCACCAAAGGAACTCTTAATCTAAATTCTACCTCCGTCCCATTTATATTGTCTCTTTACGGTTTACGATGTTTGACCGACAATAAAGTAAACAGACCCCTGTCCGCACTCAAATTACTTTTAGGGAAAAAAATTACATATTCAGAAATTACATTTAAAGCTTTACAAAGTCGCAAAACCCTGAATCAAATTTGATAAGTTTTTTATATATAAAGTAAGAAATTAAGAGTGATTTATGTTGACCAAGTAAATATGAACTGGGACAATATAAATGGGACGAAGAGAGTATTAATTAATGAACGTAGCAAATGAATTCAACCATTTAACATAGAACATAATAATAGTAAACCCTACTTCTTAAAGGAAGACCGGCCGAACGGTCTAAGGGTCTGTTTGCAACAGCTTCTGCTTTTAAAAAGTGCTTATTTAAATGAAATGGGGAGAAGTGATTAAATAAAAGTTGATAGTGTTTGAGAAAAAGTGATTTTGAAAAGTAAAAGTGGGTAGTGTTTGGTAAAATAAGTGCTTTTTGTGTAATAGAAAAAGTAAAAGCACTTTTGACGCGAAAGCCGAGAAAAATAAAAGTTATAGTGTTTGGGAAAATAAGTGCTTTTTAAAAGTCAGAAGTTGAGAAGTGCTTTTTTAAAAGCAATTGCAAACCAACCCTAACAAAGTTGCCTTCTCCGTAAACAACCCTCAACTATACGCTAGTATTTTGACAACTAACTATCAAACCATTTCTAACCCATCATTTGATCATTTCTAGATGAGATGATGGGGAGTCACCATCTTATTTATTACACGTCGTAAAAAATGAAGTATATTTAATCTTGACATTGCCCATCCCTTCCTTTGGAGCTTGTCCCTAACCTTTAACCTTAGGAAACTACTTTATTATTTTGTCATAGTGTTCCCAGGTAGCTTTATCTGACTGTAAATGCTCCCACCTAATTAATAACTGAACAGTAGCACCAATGTCCTTTTAATAGTCCTGGCTAAAATTTTAGCAGGAACCAACAAAGTGTCACCTTCTTCATTCATGGCAGGAATGTTGTTGGTAACTCTATCAGCCATACATACCTTTTTTTAATAAGGACACATGGAAAACTGGATGTATTTTACTCCTTTCAGTTAGTTTCAATTTGTAGGCAGTTTCAATTTGTAGGCCACGGCTCCTATTTTTTCAATAATGCGAAAAGGTCCACAATACTTAGGACTTAGTTTTCATAAAGGGGACTTCCTGAGTTTCAAATAAATCCAATCCCCTACTGCACATTCTCTTTGGCTCCTGCCTATGTATGTCAGCCAATTGTTTCATCTTATGTTTAGATAGTTGGAGCTTGTGTTTCAGTTTTTAAGAGCCAATTCATATTCGACCCGCACAACTGACATCTCTCCATATGATCCTATCTCCATCATGGGTGGTTTATAACAAAAAAAGAGCCTCAAAATGACTCATCCCAATTGTTGTGTGATAACAATTGTTGTACCACCAATGAACCAAGGGAAGCCATTTGCTCTGAACCTTAAAAATCCTTTCACTCATGCATCTAATATAATTTTCTAGGCATTGGTTCATCCTTCTATTTGCCCATCTGTCTATGGATGATAGGCCGTACTTAAATGATGTTGTACTCCCCAAAGATTTGAATAGATATTTCCTAAATAGGCTGATATAAATACCTTATCTCGATCATATATGATATATTCGGGTAAACCGTAGAATTTGCATACAATGTTGATAAAAGCTGCAACTACCATACAGGTAGAGAAAGGGTGATTCAAGGCTACAAAGTGGGCATATTTGGTGTATCGGTCAACTACCACAAATATAGTATTATAGCCTTTGGACTTAGGTATTCTTCAAATCGAAGAAAACAGAAGAAATCGGCAGAATTGCACTTACCAGAAGAATAAATCGAATTAGCGCTTTCTTAACTTCAAAATCCGCCTTTGGATTGATTATGAATGATTATCTTGAAGAAAACTGGTATAGGAAGTCGGCCTTAGGATTTTAAGACCAAGGGAAATTTGTAGAGAGCGGTTATTTATACCGACAACTCGAAATTTGGCCAAACTGGGCCAAAATAGCCTCGCGTCTCGGTCACACGCATACTCATGCGCATGTCGTGCGTGTTACTGTACACACACACCTGTAGCTCCAAAAATTATAAGGCACACATATGCCCGAAGCCTCTCAATTTTTGCCCCTTTTCTTCCATGCTTGGACCCACCCTTGGTCATAAACACCAAACCCAACACGATAAACTATTTATAGACCTTCTAAATGATGTGGATCATAGATTTGAATTTCCCCTCAAATTCTTGGGGCATTACCTATTTCTTCTTCATTGTCACCAATCACCATGGCCCGGGTCTCAGTTACACTCATGGTCGTGCGTGTTACCGTGCGCACACACCTGCAGCTCCTCTAGAAAATTTAAGTCAGACATGTTGTGCAGCTCCTCAATTTTTGCTCCTTTTCTTGCACGCTTGGACTCATCCTTAGTCCAAAACACCAAACTCAACACGATAAACTATCTAGGGACTTTCTTAACGATGTAGATCATAGATTTAAATTTCCCCTCAAATTCTTGGGGTATTACATATTTATTCTTCATTGTCACCAATCACCATTGCTCTGCACAGTGATGCTCCTCCAACTCTGATACCAATTCTTGTGATTGAGCTAGTAAAAGAAACCACTCATAACAAGAAATGGAGACAGAAAGAAGGGAAGAAGGAGAAGAAGTTTTAGGAAGGAAATGTATTGACCTCCAAACTGCCTACCTTGTTTACAACCTTCAACTATAGATCGCTAATACCAACTAACTACCAACCACTTTCTAACCATAGATAAGAGGATGAAGTGTCATCATCTTATTTATTACACGTGACGCCATAAAAAATGAAGTAAATGGATTAGCGGGTCAGCCAGTTCAGCACTAAAGATGTAATCTTGACAGAAAAATGATTTGAGCAAATGAAAAGGTAAAATTAGTTAAAAATAAAACAGGATGGAATTAAGAGATAATGAAGTGGATAAATGTACGAGAAAAAATAAGTTGCTCAAAGTCACAGGAGCACATAGTTGACTTTTCCATTTTTAAAAGATATTTAATATTATTAATTAATATGTACGTAGGCATATTGGGAGGCAGAGGAGTTAATGGACATGGAATGGTAGCTGAAATATATGGTCCAACCGGCAAGTGAAGCACACAAGTTAAACTACCCGACACACACACATACATACACTGATACACATATATAAATCTTATTACTCCATATAAATCATACAAAACCTTTTTGTGTATAAATATAAATATCTGAAACTTCAACTTTAATTCCTGGAAGATAAGTGGTTTTGTGGTCAACTATAGCTTTGTTTTTTGGAGTTGGGTCAGCAGCTAGCCATGAGTGTGAGAAGCCATGGAGGCATCAGAAGGACTTTGTATCTGCTCTTCCTTGGTCAGGTCACATCTTTTCTCATGTCACTTATGAGCTTCACTTCTTCTCTGGTAGCCGATCTTGGTAAGTTCATAGATGCTAAACAATTCTTGATTTGTGCCTGGGAATATGGAATTATTAGAATCTAGTAGGATTAAGTGGTTCAAGACTTCATATATTACTAACTCTGCTCAAGAATGATTTTGATTAGTATAATGTTATGAAAGTTATAAACTTTATAAAAAGTATTTCTAACAAAGAAAATTTTCATATCATTTTTATATTATAAGTAGTTTGCTATAATGAAACCGGGATTGAGCGGAATTAAACTAATTAAACAAAAGATTGATGGATGAATCTTTTTCTTCTTCTGTTATTAGGTGCGGACACTCCACTGACTTTGTCATTCTTTTCTTACTTGTTGTTGTCATTGGTGTACGGAAGCCTCTTCATTTTTAGGCGCCAGAAACTCATGGTATGCTAGATTAATCTTTATAGTTCAATTTTGAATTCATCTTAACTAATATCTATATATTTTGAGGTTATAAAATGGTCAATTATTTGCATGCAGGTTCCCTGGTATTGGTATCTTCTCTTAGGCTTTGCTGATGTCCAAGGAAACTATCTTGGTAAGGCCATATATAGCTGCTAGTTTGCTTAAAAAGTTACTAACTTTAGCATAATAGTATGGAAAAATCCAAAAATGAGATCTTTACCTTTCTGAGAGCCCCACTTTCCCTGCCATGGCCTGCACCCCATAATATTAGTACACTTATTTTTTGAAGTGTATTTGGATTTTAATTGAGTTTTAAGCTTAACTTGCAGTTAACAAGGCTTACCAATACTCATCAATTACAAGTGTGACAATACTGGACTGTTGGACAATCCCTTGGGTGATATTGCTAACATGGATCTTCCTTGGAACCCGATACTCCCTATGGCAGTTCTTTGGTTCTGCTGTCTGTGTTTCCGGGCTAGGCCTAGTCCTCCTATCTGATTCCGGGGTGAGCAGCGGAGGTGATCTTTCATATTCCCATATTCCTACCTTCATACTACGTATTACTGAACCCAATCACGTAGTTTCACTCTCAAAACGTTTAGTACTGTCGAGTTTTGAAATAAGAGGGTACTGAACCCATTCCAAAAATGCAAAACCTAGAAACTCTTTACAGATGAATTTGAAACACCAAAAGTGAAATGCAAAGAAGCAAAATGTAAAGAGATAAGTTTAAGACAAAGATATAACCATACAATGCAAAACAGCTAATTTGTGCATGTTAAAGGTAGATAGTAGATGACTAGTACTCTAGTAGGCCTAGTCTTCTAGTCAATTCTGTATGTCCAGCAGCTAGTGAGTCCAGTTATTATTATAAGGAATAATTAAAATAGACAGGTATATATAAGAAAATAATAGCATTGGTAGTAAAAATAAAACTATAAAAAGTATATGTGATCAAACAGCCTGCTCGGGATATTAGCAAAAGTGTGTTACAGTCCCGTTCCGCTTGAGAATGGTTTGGCATTAATTCGGTACGAAAAGAGAATGTCTCATTTATTTGATTTTGTACAATTACGGTATAAATGTTCATATAGATCGAAGTTACTCCGTCTAAATGTACTAGGCTAAAACCACAACGTTTCTACACCAAGGGTTTTCTATGGTTCTATGAATATTCTAACTGTTTATTTCTATAAGTATTAGTGACATAGGATTTGAAATTCAAATGTTTATGTCTTCAAAGACAGAAATTCTACTATTTGTATGGTAAAACCAAACACCACTATTGTTCTCTTTGGATTGAATTTCTCCAATGTCATGATAAACTTGAACAAATAACCGGTCTGGGAGAAATAGATTGACTTGATTGAATAACCTTGACCAATTTTCTTTTTAAGCTGGTGTTTGTGGACGTGTAATACAACTAAAAATATAACCTATGGCATTCGTGCATATTACGCCAACTTTGGGTAGTGAAAATGGAGTTGAAAATCATGAAACGTTATGTATCAAATTATTTACCTAGATTCATCTCAATCCACATAGAGCAAAAATTTGCAACTACATTTATTTCAGGTGGCTCTAGACCTCTTCTGGGAGATGCATTAGTAATTATGGGAACACTTTTCTTCGCATTGAGTAATGTTGGTGAGGTTTGTCAATCTAGCCCCTCTCTGTTGCCTTATAAGTTATAAATCTTATAATTAAGGAAATATTAGTATTTTGATTATCATTCAAATCCTTCAACTTGTACTTGAGACAGGAGTTTTGTGTGAAGAAGAAAGATCTCGTTGAAGTTATCTCAATGATGTCAATATCTGGGTTGCTAGTGAGCATTTGTCAGATGTATCCTTTTATTACTCTACAGACATTTCATCAACTAATTTGAGTATCAAGTCATTTGTTTCTTGTCAACAATCTATTAGAGCTATCATGGAAAGGAAGAGTCTAGAGTCAGTGAAATGGTCTGCAGAAATTGTAAGAAAAATCGTAACCCTTAGTGTCATTAATGTTGTTTAAACTGACTATATTAACAGTGTGCTGTGAAATTTTCCCCAGAGTCTGGCATTTGCTGGTTATCCTCTTGCAGCCTTTCTGTTCTACTCATTTGTTCCTTTTGTTCTAAAGGTGAATACTTTTACGCCTTCTTTTGTGTGTATGTTCAAGATAAACTCTTTTTTTACACAATATCTATACTCAAATCCCATTAATGGAATGGCCTCTTCTGTGATACAGATGAGCGGATCCACACTGTTATGTCTGTCTCTTCTAACTTCGGATATGTGGGCAGCTGTCATCAGAATATTTTTCTACAAGCAGAAGGCAATGTCACTTTAAATATTAGTCATCCTCTGATTTTGTTGCAATCTTCAATACTTGTAGTACTAAAGTAACTATGATCTTTCACTGAAATGCAGATTGACTGGCTATACTATCTAGCTTTCGGGCTAGTAGTTATTGGACTTGTTGTATACTCGAAAACGTAATCCCTCTATCTTCTCATTTGCATCTTTGGCCAAGCTGGACAATCTCTTTTAGTTTTATCAGTGTTTACTAAACTTAGTTCTCCCGAACCCCATTTGGCTGACTTATTACCTAACATAGACTGATATTAGACTTTAAATGCATACATGGCATGACAGCGAGAAGGGATCGGTTTCTGCAGCAGAGAGTGAGGATGGTTTGGCGTACGAAATTCTGGATGGAGAGTGCACAGACGCCAGAAAAGATAATGCGGATGTCGTTGATGTTTAAAGGACTTGTGTTGTTTCTTGGCAACACTTCATAGAAATGAATTGCAGCACATCCCTATATTTGATAAAGAAAGGCCAACACTTGAGGAAGCATGGATATACTAGAACTTGTGTCAATTTTGGCTGTTTGTATTCCTCTAGGTGGCCATATGCAAATTTCTTTATTTCCTTGTTGTTGCCCTTAATAGGAATTAATTATACATCTCTCCAAGTAGAATAGTTGATAATATAAGCTTTTTAAGAATGTAAAATGGTACGATACTTGGTACTCCGTATAATTTATTGTCTTGTGGATGTGGAAGTGTGAAAGTGTCTCACACCTAAGATTGATTTATGTGAGTATCCAACCCTCATATCTCTAATCTTCCTACCTGAGAAAGTGGTGAGAACACAGATTATTCTTCCCCTATTCGTATTCTGAAACCATCGACAACACCATTTCCGAGCTTCCTTCTGTGAGGAGTCTTGGGTGCGGTTTCTTTGATCAAATTCCCCGCCAAAGAGGCCATTTGATGGTGGAATTCGAGGAAAGAGTCAATTGGGCACACCAACTTGTTTAAGGTGGAGTAAAAAGTACATTATATTGCATTTGATCTTTTTAAGTACACAAATTCAGATTTTTAGTGTTAATTGAGTACACCCGTTAGATTAACACATTAATGTAACTGAGCTGCCTAACAGAATATTGAGTAAGAAGGGGCAATGGATCAAGGTTATGCCGCTGACCTTCACGAAGTCGACCAAAAAGGGAAAATCTACCTTCAGAGGTCGACCTGCGGGGGGTGTCGGCCAGCAGGGGTGCATCGACCAAGGAGAAATCGACTTGCGGGGGCCTGATGTCGACCAAGGAGAAGTCGATGAAGTGGCTAGGGGCTGGTTCGACCTTCAAGAAGTCGACCTATTAGCGTTCTGTTAGCCAACTCAGCCGTATTAACGTGTTAATCTAACAGGTGTACTCAATTAACATTAAAATCCCGAATTTGTGTACTTAAAAAGATCAAACGCAATACTGTTTACTTTTTACTCCATCTCATACAAGTTGATGTACTCAATAGACCCTTACCTCGGTGGAATTCGTTTCATTTCAAATTCATGAATTTGTATACCGATTTCATGCTTTCGGAAAATGGAATAGAAAAAAATAGTACATTTGGAAAACTTGCGTTAAGATTTAGCTATTTTGTATATAATTTTTATTTTTTTATTAATAAAATACATTTTAAACATAATTTTTTATAAATCAACAGAATTAGTCAATAAAGTCACTTCATACAGTCAATAAAAAAAGTCACTTCATACAGAACTTCATAAATTTCACCAGAATCAGCCGATTACAATGTGACCAAACGACTCTTAGAAAATGGAAACCTGGAAAATGAAAAAATGAAAAAGGGAAACAAAAAGCAATAACAGAAAACCGGAGAAATAAAAAAAGGGTTTCACATGAGCTAAGAGGTTACTTTTCCATATTCAAAAGATCGATATAATTTTAATATTATTAATTAAAATGTACGTACGTATATACTACATTCGTTCCTATATAAAAGTTATCATTCATTTTTCACACTTTTTAAGAAAGTAGTTTATTTGGCGTTGCTTGATACTATTAGGTACTTATTGGCACAGTTTTGTATTAATAATTTGTTTTACTAAAAATGGGAAAATAGACTTTTATCTACAAACTGTCTAAAAAGAAAAAGGAACTTTTATTTAGGGTTGGAGGAGAGAGGAGTTAATGGACATGGAATGTTAGCTGAAATATATGGTCCAATCTGCGAGTAAAACACAAAAATTAGGGTTTTTCACAAAAATATTACTAAAATAAAATTTATTTATAAAAATATGACTATTAATTACTACAATGTAGTGTTATAGAAACTTAAATACTAGTATAAAAATTGAACATAAATTACTATAATTTCATTACTAATGTAATCACTAATCACATTTTTTTGTAAACAACCTTCCTTCAGTATAATTACTTCCAAAAATTAAACCACCCCGACAGACACACATGTAAATATCTCAAAATCCTCAGCTTCAATTCTTGGAAGTAAAGTGGGCAACTAGCTTTGTTTTTGGAATTTGGTTAGCAGGTAGCAATCTTTTATTATACAAAAGCAAAATGAAATCTGTACAGTGTTCCCGCCCAAACACTGTACAGTAACGGGCCGGGTCAAGTGAATATGGGTTCAGTGATGGGTCATGCAGCAGGTTCTCTGATCTTCCCAATAAATTTTAATACAAGCACAATAGTCAATGCAGATTTTGGGGCTCAATAAAGACCATCAATTGCTAAGCTCACGGCTCGATAAACATTAAATGTTGTGTAATTCGAAAAGGAGAGGTTGGCATGTGTGCCGAATATAATAAAGCAGATTTGATCTGGGCAATAAATGCAAGGCTCAAGGCTCCATAGACAGCATTAAATGAAAGTGTACTTAATATCTTAAAGATTTGATTGCATATGAAAAAGCATTGCATGAAGCGTACTTAAATAATTTTAGTTGTACGAATATATCAAAAAATTGTGCGGCCTACGAGAACATTTAATGTGTACCAAAACATCTTAAAATCCATTGGGGAAATACAACGGTTAAAGAATTTAAGGGGCTATAAAAACCATTCACTTAGCTGTGAATCTCCACAACACATCCACACTGCTTGGCAACTGCGCTTAGGAGAAGAAGATTAGAGATGGTTTTGTTTGACAAAGAGGTAATATGTTATCACTTTTTTATTATTATGTAAAGGCTCTTAACGATCAATTGTATTACAAAGGGTAAGGATTCGTGCTTCAGTGAGGAGGCCATAACTGAACTGTATAAGAGAAAAACCATATAATGTTGTGTATGGAAAAAAAATGGAACTAGGAACGTTTTGTACAAGATGACTACCGAAGGCCCCATTCATGGGACAAGCATTACCAGCAACCATTACGGTATGTAAACAATAGGATGGTGAAAGAGTTTAAACCACCATAGATGACACGAAAACAAATAGCTACACTGTTACAAAAAAATACCAAATTAAAACTCACAATAGTGTAAGCAATAAAAGTCTACGATTCAAACTAAACCATATATGGTGAAAGAGTTGTAACAACATGATGGTTTAAAAAATAGCTTGGTGAAAAAGTTCTCAAACCACTATATACGAATCAGAATCCAAATTAAAAAAATGCATTATATGTAAGATAGTATGTATAAGAGATTATGGATTGAGTTTGGAAATAATACCCAGTATAACAACAAAGTATTAATCAAACACAACCGACAACACTGTATGACATTTAGGTTCTACTCATCACATTGCACTGAGAGAGTAGTATTGCAAAGTCATATGTGGAACACAAATTACTTTACCGATCCCCATCTATTCATTAAAGTAGATAAACGAAACATAATATCCTTAAAAAAATTTAATAGATGTGTACAGAAATCTTATGCAACCGGATGCATAGAGAAATTATGCAAATTCTGTCATTTACTTGAATCTGATTTCTATTCAATTAAATCTTCTCACAATTTTAAAAATCCCTTACATGAAATTGTATAGAACTGCTGGCACACAGAAACTTTACAAAACGAAACAACAATCTTAGATTTATCAAAATGAAAAGAGGAGATGTAAGGTCTGAGATCATTTATCTATCACTCAAACATCATAGCCACACCAGTTTTTGAGGCCGAACAACATAAATCCACTTAAATAAAAAATGCTCAATCCAATAAATCTCTTAAACGAAATCATATATAAGTGCATTTACACAGAAAAGTGGTAAAACACACAAACAGTGTAATTTATAAAAAAAATGAAGAAATGAGACCTAAGGCCTGAAATCTGACTCAGACTTCACCGTAGCAGTTCTCACAATCCTGTGGAACAAATATTCGATGAGGAGCGATAATCGGCATGCCGACTGAGTGTGGCATGTGGGAGAGCAGTTGTAACTTGCAAGGGATGAAGATAGTTTAGGTTTGTGCGAGAGTAATCCATCGGACCGATGGTTTGAGAAGTCTGCCACAGGATAAATGTTAAAGACGCAGGGTAAAGGAGCCTTATATAAGGCGGTTTAGGTTTGGGATGCTGGGCAGAAATTATTTTCGGTGTTGGGCTGAGTATTGAGTAAATGGGCCGTACATAATGAGATGGTCTCATAATTGGTCGGGTATATTTATTGTTGGGCTCGGTATTGAGTAAATGGGCCGTACACGGAGTATTATTATTACCATATATTATAATTTGTATTATAATATTTTTTATATTAATTATAAGTATTACGTAGTAGTATTTTTTATAATATTATAATTTGCATTATTTTTATTCTTTTTAACAGTATTTTATTATTACAATTATTATAATTATAATTATAATTATAATTATAATTATATTCTACTAATTATAAAACATAAATATGAAATACATTCTCTCTTTTTCTCATACAAAGTTTAAATAAGGTTATGGTAACCATCATACTAATATTTGTAGTATATAGTGAGTATTGTATTAATTCTTTTTTTTTTGAATTTTTTATTTTTTATTTGTAAATCTGAATTTAGATATTATAATAGTAATATTAATAATATTAGTAATATAATTACCATTATTCAGCTTCAATGTCATTATATTCTAATTTAAAAATTACATATACTAAAGTGTAAATTTCAACTAATGTTGATTACCGTATCATTTTTCTGAATAGAAATTTGGGATCCATACTATCAATGCTATTTATAATGAAGTGTTTCGAAATGTGTAAATTGCAGGTAACTTATTGTAATATTTGTTTATTTGTTTATTTCTACTTATTCGAAATCTTACTCACTACCAATGCTTGAATCTTACTAGCGGTTCTCAAATTATTTTTATTTATTTATATTAGGTCTCATTTATTTCCATACAATTTTACTTCAATTAATAATATTAACAAACGCGAAAACATAATTATTACATTATTTATGTTCCGCGCATCGTGCGGGTGAGAATTAGTGAGTGTTAAAAGCCATTGAGGCATAAGAAGGATCCTGTATCTGCTCTTCCTTGGTCAGCTCACATCTTTTTTCAAGTCACTCACGAGCTTCACTTCTTCTCTGGTAGCCGATCTTGGTAAGTAAATAAATCTGGCCGCTCACCTCCTAGCTAGCCTGATTTGTGCCCGGGATTATTCACAATCTAATAGGATTGAGTGGTTGAAGACTTCATATACTACGCATTACTAACTCAGTCATAAAGTCATTATTTACTTTTCAATGGTTTTGATTAGTATGGAGTATAATGTTAAGAAAGTTATAAACTTTGAAAGTATTTTTATATAAGTAGAGAATCTTTCATGTCCAGCTGTCTGATGGAAACCATCGTCCTGCCCTTTGAGTTTTTCCAGGTGAAATTTTTTGACGATTTTTCTTAGCATGTTCTTCATCGAATCTAGTTTATACACAAAGGGCAGTTAAAGAACATGCTTCAAATCTAGTTAAATTTTTTGACGTCTTTTCTTAGCATGTTCTTCATCAGATGTGGCGTAGCAAATAGTAGGATTGAGTGGTTAATTTTTTGACGAAGTATAATTTTTTGAAAAACACTGCACTGTTTATACATATTTAACTGCGCAGTGTTCTTAAATAATTTATTTGACTGTCTTTTCGATTGAATTTTTAGCTGAAATTTTGTGGGCATAAACTAGACTTGATCTAGAACATGCTCAAAAACTTTCATAAAAACATTCCACCTCGAAGGGTTCCAAACACCCTTGGCCGAACGGCGGTTCCCGTCAGACCGAATGTCACTCGTTATAAGTAATTTGATATGCTGAAGTCGGTATGAGATGACTTGGCCCCTTTGGTAGCCCTATTTTTCGCCTTGTTATCAATTGACGTTTTAACCAAAAGCATAATTTTTTATTTCACCTGCTGAATTCTACGTAGTATAATAATAAGAAAGAGTAAGATTATAGTTACTTTTTTGTTGTATTGGCTAGAAGGTCGTTTAATCTATTTTTAATATAATTTTTCTTTATTTTATTAATAAAATATATTTTAAATATTTTTTTCATAAACCAGTAGAATTGATCAATACAACCGATTTTGGTATTACCAAACGGGTATAGGGATGGAGTGGAATTCAATTAATTAAACAGATAATTGATCTAGATTTCTGCTTCTATTATTAGGTGCCGACACTCCACTGACGTTGTCATTCTTTTGTTACTTGTTGTTGTCATTGGTGTACGGAAGCCTCTTCATTTTTAGGCGCCCCAGAAACTCATGGTATGCTAGATTAATTAATCTTCATATTTCAATTTGAATTGATCTTAATAAATATCTATATTTATTGAAGTTAAATGGGTAATTAATTATGTTGCATGCAGGTTCCCTGGTATTGGTATCTTCTCATAGGGTTTGCTGATGTCCAAGGAAACTTTCTTTGTAAGGCCATATATAGCTGCATTACTTTAAAATTTACCAACTTTAGTATACCTATATGGAATAATAAAAAAGAAATCTTTAGCTTTCTGAGAGACCCACATTCCCGAGTAAATATTTGGTGTACGCCAATGTGCTCACTACTAGCAAGTTGACACTATAAATGGCCCGATTAAACTCATCTAGTAAGCACTTTGGCGTGCTCCATGTATATTTGGCCACTTTCCCTGCCATGGCTTGCACTCCATCCAGAAATGCCTCATTGTGATATTTGTACACTTAATTTGTTTCAAGTGTAATTGGATATTAATAAGTTGTAAACTTAACTTACAGTTAACAAGGCTTACCAATACTCGTCAATTACAATTGTGACAATACTGGACTGTTGGACAATCCCTTGGGTAATATTGCTGACATGGATCTTCCTCGGAACCCGATACTCCCTATGGCAGTTCTTTGGTTCCGCTGTCTGTGTTTCCGGGCTAGACCTAGTCCTCCTATCCGATTCCGGGGTGAGCAGAGGAGGCGATCTTTCATTCTTTCATACTCTAATCTTCTACTTTCATGTTACTGAATCGGATCGTGTAGTTTTACTCTTGAACCATTTAGTACTGCCCAATTTTGAAATGAGAGGGTACTGAACCCATTTCAAAAAATGCAATAATCTAGAAACTGTTTACAGATGAATTTTAAACACCAAAAGTGAAAAGTAAAGATTCAAAAGAAGAAAAATGTAAGCGATAAGCGTAAGGCATAAATATAACCTGAAAATGCAAAACAACTAATTTGTGCATGCTATAGGTAGATAGATGTCGAGTAGGCCTAGTCAATTCTGTATGTCCAGCAGCTACTGAGTCCAATTATATTATAAAGAATAGTTAAAATAGATTGATTAATATCACAAAATAATAGCATTAGTAATAAAAATCAAAACTACACAAAGTACTCCGTATATGTGATCAAACGGCCCGTTCAGGATAACCGGTCAGCGAAAGTGTGTAACAGTCCGGTTTTGTTTGAGAAAGATTTGGCATTAATGTGGTACGAAAAGAGAACGTTTCATTTTATTGATTTTGTACAATTATGGTCCAAGCCTGTGCTTCTTCTGTATTTTTGCCCACGCTTTATGTAGAAATCTAAATTACTAGTCTAAATGTACTAGGCTAGAACCATAACGTTTCTATACCATGGGTTTTCTATGGTTCTGTGAAATTTCTAACTGTTTATTTCTATAATTTTAGTGACATAGGATTTGAAATTCAAGCGTATGTGTCAACAAAAGACAGGAATTCTACTATTTGTATGGAGTAAAACCAAAAACCACTATTGTTCTCTTTGGATTGAATTTCTGCAATGCTATGGTAAACTTGAACAAATAATCTAGGTTTGTGGGGAATAGGTTGACCTGATTGAATAACCTTGATCAATTTTCTTTTGCAGCTGGTTTTGGTTGATGCATATTGAATAATACAATAAAAAATACAGCATGTGGCAAATACCCATATACCCAACTTTTGGTAGTGAAAACGGAGTTGATTCACTCAGTTAGCTTACTTTGATAATTTCAAATAAATCACGAAACGTGGTGTATCAAATTATATACGCAGATTCATCTCAATCCAAACAGTGCAAAAATTTGCAACTACCTTTATTTCAGGTAGCCCTAGACCTCTTCTGGGAGATGCATTAGTGATTATGGCAACACTTTTCTTTGCATTGAGTAATGTTGGTGAGGTTAGTGAACCCAACTCCACTCGGTTTCCTTATAAGTAGGGAAATATTAGTATTTTGATTATCATTTAAAACCTCAAACTTGTATTTGAGACAGGAGTTTTGTGTGAAGAAGAAAGATCTTGTTGAAGTTATCTCAATGATGTCAATATCTGGGTTGCTAGTGAGCATTTGTCAGATGTATCCTTTTATTACTGTACTGACATTTCATCATCTAATTTGAGTATCAAGTCATTTGTCATTTGTCAACAATCTATTAGAGCTATCATGGAAAGGAATAGTCTAGAGTCGGTGAAATGGTCTGCAGAAATGGTAAGAAAAATCGTAATCCTTGGTGTCATTAATGTTGTTTAAACCGACTATATTAATAGAGAGCGCTGTGAAATTTTACCCAGAGTCTGGCATTTGCTGGTTATCCGTTTGCAGCCTTTCTGTTCTACTCATTTGCTCCTTTTGTTCTAAAGGTGAATACTTTTACGCCTTCTTTTGTGTTTATGTACAAGATAAACTCTTCTTTTTACACAATATGACTCTATACTCAAATCCCATTGATGGAGTAGCCTCTTCTGTGGTACAGATGAGCGGATCCACACTGTTATGTTTGTCTCTTCTAACTTCGGATATGTGGGCAGCTGTCATCAGAATATTTTTCTACAAGCAGAAGGCAATATTACTTTAAATATTAGTCATCCTCTGATTTTGTTGCAATCTTCAATAATGGCAATACTAAAGTAACTATGATCTCTCAATGAAATGCAGATTGACTGGCTTTACTATCTAGCTTTCGGGCTAGTAGTCATTGGACTTGTATACTCAAAAACGTAATCCCTCTATCTTTTCATTTGCATCTTTAGCCAAACTGGACAAACTGTTTTAGTTTTATCAGTGTTTACTAAACTTAGTTTTCCCAAACCCCGTTTGGATGACTTATTACCTAACATAGACTGATATTAGACTTTAATTGCATACATGGCATGACAGGGAGAAGGGATCAGTTTCTGCCGCAGAGAGTGAGGATGGTTTGGCGTACGAAATTCTGGATGGAGAGTGCACAGACGCAAGAAAAGATAATGCGGATGTCGTTGATGTTTGAAGGGCTTGAGTTGTTTCTTGGCAGCACTTCATAGAATTGAATTGCAGCACATCCCTATATTTGATAAAGAAATGCCAATACTTGAGGAAGCATGGATATACTAGAACTTGTGTCAAGTTTGGCTGTTTGTATAATTTATTGTCTTGTGGAAGTGTGAGTCTCATACCTAAGATTGATTTATGGAAGTATTCAACCCTCATATATCACTGCATTAGTGTTTTTCAACCAACTTTGGTACACTTAACCCCAATTGGAAGTCATATGAGATCACGGCTGCATATTTCACCTTCACATCTATCATTGTGGTCTTGAATTCACTCACATATATCTTCAATTAAAACCATGTCAACTTTAATTTCAGTTTTTGACCATTCCGAAAATCCTATTGCATTTTCTTTTGACAAAGTAATGTATATGCACATATTGTTTGTTGTTGAAAAGTAATTAACTATTCAATATGATTAGGTAGTCATTGTCATCATTATCAAAACTATTAGAAAATCATGGATTATGATGTGGAGTTAATAATTGTGTGACTCACAATTAACTCCTAATATAGATGATATTCGTTTTTTTATTCTACAAATACAAGGCTTTTCCTTCACTCATATACGGAGTATTTGCTAATTCGGGAATAATTTTTAATAGTATTAGCAATATAATTCTCTAGTATTCATGAATGATTTTACATAATTCAATTCAACTTGAGATTGTTTTTTAATATTTAAAACGGGGCAGGGGCGGGTAAAAGTCTAAAATACTAATCGGACCACACGATCTGCACTTTGCTTATTGCTTGTAATGGTTTTACTAAAAGTCTAAAATACTAATCGGACCTCACGGTCCGCACTCTTCTTATTGCTTGTAAAGTTATCTTTTGTAATGAAATTTGTTAGTCTAGTCTGATTTGGTTTGATCTATTTTAGCCTAATCTGGTCTGGTCTAATTTGTTTTAGTCTGATCTGGTTTGAAATTTTATTTTAACTGAAGTATTATTATTTATATAATATAATTCGTAAATAATTAATTTTTATTCATAACTCATACAATTTTTTGTAAATATATATTATCTCTATTGTTTCATGATGTGAATTCAAAAGTGCAACGCGTTAGCTCAACTTAAAAGTGTAATGCGTTTTCTCTGTCATTGAGGTATCAAAAATAAATTTAATGCTATGTACATGAAATAATAATAAAAACAATTACAATATAACAATAATAAGAATATAAATAATATATATAGTAATATAATACTCCATAATAATAATAATAAGAATCATAATAATAATAAGGATGATAATAATAGCAATAATAATAATAATAATAATGATAATAATATTAATATGATCTTGTCTGATTTGATTTAGAGCCCGTTTAGTAACACGAAAATTGGCACATTCGGTTGATTCTGCTGAAATTTATGAAATTCTGGCTGGAGTAAAAGCATTGGCTGATTCTGCTGATTTAAGAAAAAAATATTTTTAAAATATATTTTATTAATAAAATAAAGAAAAAATTATATGTAAAAATGGCTAAAATGGTCATCTATAGTAACTTCAGCCAATACAGGTAGAAAAGTAACACAAACCTTACTTTTTCTTATTATTACACAATTCAGCGTGCGAAAACAAAAGTTATGTGTTTGGTGAAAAAACTGGCTGATAAGCCGAAAAACAGTGTTACCAAACGACCTTTTAGAAGTTGTTCTCTTCGTCTTACTTATCGCTTATTCTTATTTTATTCAAACCAGATCAGATCAGACCAGATCAGAAACATTCAGATCAGAAAATTTCAAACATGATTTATCACTTTATTATTATAATAATTATAATTATAATAATAATTATTATTATATTATAATTATTATTATATGATAATAATAATAATTATTATTATATTAATATTATTATTACTATTGTTATAATTATAATAATATTTATTATTACAGTATTACTATAATAAGATAATAATAATTATTACTATAATTATATTCTTATAATAATTATTATGTTATTATTATAATAATAATTATTATATTATATTTATAATTATTATTATTATATTGTAATTATTATTATTATAATTGTTGTTGTTGTTGTTATTAGTATCATACGGAGTATGGAATGACTAAAAGCATATTTATAATTATAATTGCAAATTTTAATTATAAATTTAATTATAATTACATCTATAATTACAATTACAATTATAATTATATATACAATTATAATTAGTGTAATAAGTATAATTATTATAGTTTTAATTATAATTATTATTATATATTTTTTAAAATTATGATTATAATTATAATTTTATTTTAAATTATATTAGTAATTATAATTATAACTATTATAATTATAATTACAATTATAGAAATATTCAAGTCAGATCAGATAAGAAACTAGTGTTTTACCCGGGCATTGCCCGGGGTGCATATTGAGGTTGTTAGAACTTTTGTAATATATATAGAAGCAATATGAATAAGTCTTTTAATTAAAAAGAAGCAATAAAAAATTACATTGTATAAAACGCGTGAATTGTGTAACACAGTACACATAAAATATCACATTTTTGGGTTTTGAAAAACCACTTTATAAACAACATTATTGTCTTTGTGGAGAACCCTTTTTCTTTTGAACGAATGAATATCTTCAGACAATCTCTGCTCCTCACCCTTGATATTGTCACATACAATTGACCATGAGTGAAAACTTGTCGCTCAATGTATAAACCGACATGTGCTAACGTCTGACCTTGACTTTTATTGATTGTCATCGCAAAGCATATCATCACAAGGAATTGTTTCCTCTGAAAATTGAATGACATTGTCGTATCTAATGGTGACAATGGAATTCTAGGTATGTAAACCTTATCTCCCATAACTTTTCCTGTTATTACTTTGGCTTCCAACACGTGCTTTCCCAGTTTGGTTACGACCAACCTCGTTCCATGCATAATCCTGCTGCCTGATCAATATTTATCAATAACATTATCGGTGCTCCTATTTTTAAATGGAGAACATGATTAGGCAATCAAGACATTGATATGCTATTGAGAAACTCAGTTGTGTACATATCTGCATGGAAGGGATCTATGACTGATGGGATTATACTATCTGAACTGAAGTGTGTAACTTCCTCGCCATGAATCAATGAGAGTATGTAGTCATTTATGTCATTGAAAATGTCCAATGTAGGTGCAATGGTCGCTCTTTCTTATAGATATTCATGATCATTGAATCTATTAAGGAAGTCAGGATATGTGATATCAACTATAGTTGCAATGTGGTTATCTTTTACCTTTAGGAGCAAAATCATCTAGGATATCCACTTCTTGAACCCACTTAAGAACCCACTTAGCAAACTCTTCAGTTTGTTGTTTCCTAGAGTCATTCTAGGAAACACACCGGATGGGAACATAAATTAAAGATAAGGAAAAACACATACTTGAAATGGCTGAAACATTAACGCCATAGCTTTGATCATAAGACACACTGGATGGGAACAACTTTGAAACATACATTGATTATCCATTTTCGGTGCACTCTATGAAAATTTAAACAATCAAAATAGTAATTTCTAGAAATAATGCATATACTAGGATCTGTATATATGCACGTCATGCAACCTTGAAATTTCATCCAGTGATGGGAAACCACTTCAATTCTAGGTGGGTTTGCAATGTAAGAAGGTAGGTTATAATCATAATGAAGGTAAAAATTATTCATTATACTTGAGATAGTATGTTGCAGTAAAAACGTACACAAATCATCTAAATTAGTATAGATTGGCACATCATGCGTGAATCTATAGTTGTCCGGTTTGAGACACTATTTTGAGGTGAGCCTGAAATGTATGAAAACATATGGATTACGTTGAAGTATTGATAAAAACAGAAATGGGAAACAAAAATATCATAGTAAGTCATAATTAGATGTAACACAATGATAGAATAAGAGAATGATAAAAATACCAGTATTAGTTTAATACAAATCATATTATTGAGCTCAAGATTTAATAATTTTGCAAAAAACGAAAACGTTACCTACCGTCCTTATCTTGACAAATTAACACATCGTATAACATTGTACCCGAAGACGCACTAATTTACATCTTTTGGGATTGAAGTTCATTCAAAGCTCTAACACCGCCATCAAGTTGGATCGTATTATTACCAAATAAGACATATGAATCCCACTGTACAAAAGATGAAGTATTTAGTTAAAATGTAACACTACGTAGATACTAATTATTACTACATCCGTCCCTAAAAGGTTGGTCATGTTAAGTTTTCCTTTTAAATGATGACAAACTTTGAATAACGATTTTAATCATTACATTTGTATGTAATTTATAAATTTAATACTTTTATGAAAATATCTTTTATAAGGAACATTTTAATATAATTTTCATATTCAAATTAATTTTGTATTAAGATATATAATCGGTTGAAATTGACTACCAATAACTAAGAAAAATCAATTTGGCATACCTTTTTTAGCAAATATTATAACTACAAATGAGAATTACAAAAACTGGGAGTGACATACCTTCATCAGGAACTCTACGCTTCATTTGCTCATGTTGGGTGTGTTTCGGAAAATAAAAAAAATTAATTAAAATAAATTAATTAAATAAAATGACAAGAGAAAAACAAGAAAGGAGATGAAGCAGAATTAGTCAAAGCTCGTGCTACGCACGATGTTCTTAAAACGTATTTGTTGCCTCCCACGGTGCATGCTAGGAGCGTTGCAACAATCGTTTCCCAGGATACGATGACTACGAACTAATGTTTGAGCACACAAACAAAAGTTCCAGCGAACGAGAACAAGTCTGAACACTCAGGAATTTTTCAGAATGCTAGCAGTGTGTTTTTAGAGCTAAAACGTGTATGGATTCGTGTACAATCGTGTAAGAACGTGTTTTTGTTGCAAACAACCTGGCAGCCATTATATAGGAGGATTTGTTGTGTGTAAATGGTGAATTAATGGACCTGAACGTTGGACATCAATGACCAGTCCGTTGGGCATTGAATCGTCCATGAACTGTCCATTTAACGCTGCATTAAAAGATAAGAACGTTGGGCATTAATTGTTGTAACGTTTCAGAAGCGCGACAGAAGACCTTCATCAGAACACCCCGGGACGGAGGTAGTAATTGAGACTGATAAGTAAGTTTAACTGGCTATAAATTTAAATCTGTTGTATTCTTTTATAGAATATTTTTTCTTATTGGTGTTTTTTTAATCTGTATGAACAAATTCCTAACCAAAAGAACATATTATTCCTAGCCATGTATCATTTGTACCTCTAATTAATATTTTCATGTATTCTCAAACGTGGAAAGTTGTTGTTTTGAGAGCATACATAATGTAGTATTTAACTTCTTCCCTTTTTTGATTCTTCAGCACTTTAATGGTCTCATTAAATTTGGAATGTAATTACGTAGTAACATATAGCCTGATTTACATAATTTACATAACATGCTTTAAGATTCTATCACTTGCAAATATGGTCTGAATTAATTGGACTCAATAGCAATATGTGAATTCATAATTGTACTCAATAGCAAATACTTGAAAGGTTATACTTTATTAGTAAGAAGAAGGTAGATTCAGATCAGAATTATTCAGATTAGAAAGATTCAGATCATAAAGATTCAGACTAGATCAGACCAGATCAGAACGATTCAGATCAGATAGGTCAGAAAAATTCAGATCAGATCAGAACTTAAAAAATAAGATAAGAAACATTCAAATCAATTGAAGAGAACAACTTCTTAGGGTTGGTTTGCAAACGCTTTAAAAAAACACTTCTCGGTTTTTGGCTTCAAAAAAGCACTTGTTTTACCAAATCACTTTTTTCTCAAACACTATCAACATTTATTTAATCACTTCTCCGCATTTCATTAAAAAAACATTTTTTAAAGTAGAAACTGTTGCAAACAGAACCTCAACATTTAGTATGGTCCGTTGGGTCTAATTTAGTACCAGTACTTCGTACGTAGTATGAATTATTTTTGGCTTAAGCGAAAAAACATTCTTAAATCCGCTAGGCGCCTGGATTTATTTAGACAAATTCCAAGACGGACACACAGCCCTTCCCGCTTCGACGCACTGAAGTGACAGAACAAGGCTCGGCGTCATCGTCTTCACTCTTCCATTGACGAAGAGACGACCATCGACGAACAGAGTCAAGAGAGGTCTGGCTTGCAGGCTCCAGCTTCCCTATTCGACGTAGATTCGACCGGATTCCAGGTTTTTAAAACTATTAATCTAATTATTTCAACTCACGGCTTACATTGGGGCTGCACATAATCACAAGTTTGTATAAGCGCATTTATCTTATTGATTCAATTGTTCGCGTTTGACAACGGTTATGGAGTATTCCTTCTGAGTTCTGTCTATCTGTTCTCCAAAAAGTCGTGTTTGACAGTTTGAGTATGTAAAAAACTTTTGTTTTTAGTCCTGCTCGTTCAAGGTCCAAGCTTTTCCAAGTTATGAATGTTAATTGATACCCCCATAAATTATTTCCAAGATTGATTTGGAGTCATTGGCTAAAGTTGATTCTTGCTTGTCTTACGGGAATTTCACTATTTGCGAGCTTACGGTACATAGCGAGAGATCTCGAGTTTAAAATCCTCTATTACTCCAACTCCCCGAGACCAGGAGAAAAAAAAAGGAATTTCACTTGCGAATTGAAGTTGTATTTTAAAGCCAAACTACCTGTTGGGGTAAAAATGCATTCTTAACCGGCCTGTTTTTCTTTTCAAAAAAAACCGGGCTGTTTTTTATTGGACCGTGTATGTTTATTGAAATTTGAAACAATTTGGTGACAAGTTTGTTGATGATGATGAGGTTGGACACGTTTGCTTGATGAGACTACCCTTGCCATGAAAATTTGTTGCCAAAATTACAAACACTACACCCCATAAATTTGGCAATAGTGCAATACCCAAAAACCCGGACCACCTGTTTCAAAATTCAAACGGTGCGGGTATTGGGTAAGATCCAATTCCTACTTTGAGAATTTGTGTACCCGGCCCGAATCTATCCGGTCAATGGAACCAACGGCTCCATTTTTTTTTAAGATTACCCGAAGCTAATTGACCCGTACCCACCCCTAGTTTTTAGGGTATATTGACGGGAATTTCTCATATAACCAAATACCATATACTCCATACTATATTACTCCCTCCATCATAAAAAAATATTACTCCCTCCATTTCAGCAAAAGATTTCTACTTTCATTTTTTGGACGTTCCGGTTAATGTTCTTATTTCTATTTCAGAAAATAATTATTAATACTCTTAAATTATAATTTAATTATCAAATATTAAAAATAATACTTGTATAATAAATTAATAACAATATTACTACGTATTATTGATGACCTCATTATATAATACTCCACATACCCATAAAATGTATATCTCAAAATATACATGAATTAGTTTATTTAATTATTGTCAAAATATTTGTGCCATTTTATTTAATTAGTACTCTGTATTAACTATTAATTAATAAGAATTAATAAGAATAAGAATATAATAATGACAACACCAAACAATTACCCTGTTATTGTTTCAAAGCCCACATCAAAGTATTTGAAAATTGAAACGGCGTTAGGCAATTAGGAAAACATTAGAGCAAATGGAAAAGGTCACCAAAGAATTTCAACCTAGCACCACGGTTCGAATCTGACATCTAAGAAAGATCCCACACCCCTAAAGTAAGCCTCGGCTAAAGTAAGCACTCACCGGGGTTCGATTCTCGGGTTTGGTTTTCCGATTCCTAATTTCAGGGCGCTCGACCATAGTTGGACTGCGCAACCATGGAAGCTGAACGAACGAATATTTTGGAGGAAGCTCCAGACAAGAGGAGGAAGTGCAGCTCAGGGAAGCACCAACCGGAAAAGCTGCTGCTTTTGACTGAGAAAGAATCAGCAGCCGATAAGACTTCACCTCCTTCTGGAGTTGAAGTTCTGTTATTCGACTATTCGGTTGAAAATCACTTCAGAGCTATTGAAACTGTTTCCAAGCTATGTGGGGAGCCGGACATTGATGATTTTACTGATCAAGCTGACCTCCAACGTTTTGGTTCATCCATCACGTTCCTTTCGTAAGTGGCAAAGCAACATCCTTTTTTCTATTATAGTTTACTTCGTACTTTAAGTTTGCCATTCCTTTGCCGCCCAATATTGTACTTTGATGTTGTAAGTAATGAATTCAGAGAGTGGAGACATTTAAGCTATAAACCAAGACGAATAAGGTTTGCATGCCAAAGTGAGACTGGTAATGGGAAATATGGCAAAGTTGAAGAAACCGTCTTGCCTCAATTTTCAGCCTCAACTGTTCCTAAGGTTTGACTTTCTTATTGTGTTAAAATTGTTTGTTCCTAAGACAAATACTTCAATGGGTTTAATCTTTTGCTCTGGTTTGGATTAGGTGTCTTAGCCCACCCAAATCCAATTTTCAAATTCTAACTTACCCGCAGTTCTGTTACTTTTGTTTCTGGTCATCTATTTGAGCAGTAGTGTTAGAGTCTGTCATCAGAAGTAATCCATTGGATTCTTTTTTTGTAAGATTTGTTCCAAGTGTCTTATAGCCTAGAGGCCCAGTTCACTCGTTCCCACTCAATTCATAATTCTATATGGATATCCTTATTTATTCTGGCATGTTATTCCACTTACTCAGCTTTTAGCAGATTACTTCACGCATCATACTTTCACAATCTAATTTTTAATTGTACGATGCAGGGAGCCTGGATTGATGAAAAAGTAAATTCTACTCAACCCTGGTATAATAGGGATTTGAATTTTTCTTGATTTTTTAAGTGAGGCAAAAAAGCCTCTGAAGTAATATTTACACTTGTTGCTTCACAAGATTGAACAAGCACTTAATATCTCATTTCTCTTGTCATAGCAATGACCTTGTACTCTATGTTGGAGGTTCTGTTTGGGGTATAGACTGGTGTCCCACATCAGATAAGGACCCCGAGTGTCAATTCCAAAGTGAGGTACACAAACCATATTTTATTTACTTTAATGACAAGTATATGGTTTCTTTTTCTGCGTCCCAATCATAAACAAATAACAATACAATAAGAGGACTCTATTATTCTTTTCTTGACAAGCCGTTTTCATAATTGTATCTTCTTTTAATTATGTAGTTTGTTGCCATTGCTGCCCATCCTCCTCAATCTTCATATCACAAGCTTGGTGCCCCACTCACTGGCAGGGGTGCCGTTCAGATATGGTGTTTATTGAACTACAAACCAACAAATGTGAAAGGTGAAATATTTCCGATCAAATCACCTAATAATCCAATAAAGCCAAGAGGAAGACCCAGGAAAAAACCACCAAATGCGTCACTAAATGATAAGCATGGTGACAATGAAAATGTGCAACCTCTTGCTGTTGAATACCCCAGAGAAACATCCACAGTTCACAACAGGATCAGTGTGGCTTGTGAAAACATCAACAAGTCCCATGAAGATTCTAGAAGGAAGCAGAAGATAACTGACCAACTACCAATAATAGGTGCAAGTGCTTCAGAACACAGAAGGTTGGAATGCAGTGCAGTTGGCCAGACCTGTGATTCGTCCTTGCCCTTGCTATCATGGCATACAAATGGAAAGTCCCCCTCCATTCCAAGTTGTCAAGCATCTACAAGCTGCGCTCTCGTATCCATGGAATCAAGTGGTAATGATACATCTCCCATGGAGATTATTCCAAAGGATGTTGCTTTGCCTAGAATGGTGTTATGTTTGGCTCACAATGGGAAAGTTGCATGGGACATAAAGTGGCGACCAAAAGGTTTTTCTTCATCCGGGCAGAGAATGGGGTATCTTGCTGTTTTGCTTGGAAGTGGAGCTTTAGAAGTGTGAGTACTCTGTCTTGAATTATGTTTTTTTGCTAGAGTATTATTGAATTTGATTCCCATCTTAAAAAAAGCCAACTTGATAGGGACAGTAATTTCGTAACAGTAAACGATCACTATTATTGAAGAAGAAGATACAAAGGAGGGCACTTCGAATCCTTATTTATACACTACCACACTTATTTAATATACTTCTATTATTATTAGTATAATTATACTAATGAGTTCCTATCACAACCTGATTGGAAGAGTAAAACAACATCCAAGCCTTAATTCCAAAAGATTTTGGGGTCGCCTAACATGAATCGGTCCATGATATCAGTGCTAAAAATAGAAGAAAGATATGGGGAAAAAAGTAAGATAAAATGGATGAGATAAAGATAAATATAAGATAGCAATAACATAAGATTTTATATACTAGTTTGTTATTTAATGTCAACCTCAGGGACCAAGCACTTCTGGATCGTGCAATTTTTAATTTTTCCGTCTCATAGGTGCACTGGCCTTTCAAAGTCTAACTTCTTATCTGAACCGTGCCATTTGTTTTCATGAAATCACTTACTCTCACTGTATGACACCTTATTTGGACCACCACTGATTTTATAGCTCATCTCAAATTACTGCATTAAGGCTTACTGACTAACCTAAGAATATGAGTAGCCCAAAATGTTATGTGATGGTTTGGTTTCATATTTAGCCAGTGCGAGACAAGATTTTCAACCGTTATTGTAGTACTTGTGTTTCTTGACATTGTTTCTTATAAGCAAACTATGTTATAGGTGGGAAGTCCCTTTTCCTCGTATAATAAAACGGCTTTATTCACCTGACATGGAGGGTACTGATCCTCGATTTATAAAGTTGGAACCTGTGTTTAGATGTTCAAAGTTAAAATGTGGTGACAGGCAAAGGTACATCATTCTTAGTTGTTAGTGATACTTCTTACTCTGATATCAACTAAAGATACTTGATATCTACACACTAATATATGTTCCATATGTTTATTCATATTGTTACTAATTTATAGGTTTTCTCCTGTTATTTTCGCATTTCACAGCATTCCTTTAACAGTGGAGTGGTCTATGTCATCCTCACATGATATGATTCTAGCTGGATGTCATGATGGAGTGGTATTAGCTATGGATCTCTCATTCTGTCTCTTTTCATTGACAAGTTTCTTCCTCATTTAAAATAAGAAAACATTGGTGGTCAACACTGCCTTCAATTTTGCGTGCCCCTGATCAGTTCTCTCTAGATTTGTTTTTGAGTATTTTGCATTTTTTTGAAAATGAAAAGTTTATCTTTTTCCACTTTCATCTACAAAGTTGTCATCTAGTCCGGCATTTATAAGAAGTACCCTTTGTTTGCGAAGAATCAATTGATGAAATAATAACTTTTCTTCAGGTTGCCTTGTGGAAGTTTTCTACCACAAACTCTTCTAAAGGTATCTTTATTGCATTTTTCATCTTTACTTAACTTTGTGTCAAGTCTTCTCCCTCTTGGGAAGCTAAGGTTTTTTTAACATCAAATCTCTTGAGAATTTCATGAAAATAATGAATTGTGGCTACTGTATCCATTCTTATATGGAGACACAAGGCCTTTGCTTTGCTTCAGTGCAGATACAGTTCCCATCAGGTCACTTGCTTGGGCACCTTTTGAAAGGTTAGTAATTAGTATAATAGGTACTTGATATTTTACAAAGACTAGTTGAGAAGGTTTATTAATACACTTTCTCTCAACCGTCTTTATTATGAATTGAGGAAGCCTCTCATCACTTCTCATCATTTTGATTTTTTTTCCATGTCTATGAAACTAAATGGCATAATGATAAATTTGTAGTAGTTCCGAGAGTGAAAATATTATCATCACTGCTAGTCACAAGGGCTTGAAGTATTGGGACTTACGGTAAGACGGTAATTATGCTTGTAAAATTTACTAGCAAGTCCGTAATGACTCCTTTCAACTAAATTCTTCTTTAACTTTCTTCTGCCACAGTTCTTTTAAAAAGTCAAAATATGTAGTTTCACAGTACATTCTTTTGAGGAAAAAGGGTCAACTAAGCCCTTCTACTATTTGTAATCCGTCATTTAGGATGTTTTCTTTTGGACTAAAATTTGCTGGTCTGGTCTGGTCTGTTTAAGTCTAGTCTGGTCTGGTCTGGTCTGGTCTGAACTGGTCTGGTCTGGTCTGGTAAACGTCTGGTCTCTGTGTATTTTATAACTACGCAAGTCTGGTCTGGTGTGGTCTGTTTAAGTCTGGTCTGGTCTGTTTAAGTCTGGTTTGGTCTGGTCTGGTCTGGTCTGGAACTGAAAACAGTCCAAAAGAAAACATCCTTAAGCCCCTGTACTAAAATAAGTATCATATATGTACGTCTACTTTTAAAATACAATCAACCAAGCCCTTTGACCTGCTATAGCAGGTTATTTTTTTTAAAAATTAAATTAGGAATATTGATAAATCTTACAAAAATTCATATAAATTTGAATAAATAATCTAATAATAATATAAAAATAGATAAAATTTTAAAAACATTAAAGTAAAAAAAAAATTATAAAACTGAAAAAATAATGTGAAAATAAAAAAAGAAAAATAAAAACTTTAAAAACCTTTTTAATAGATGTCGAATATCAAAATATATTAAAAAATTTAAAAATATTGACTTTGTTATTCTGAAATTTTTCACAATTTTTTAGAATTTTTAAGTATCAAAAACCTGCTATTACAGTTCAAAAGCTGATTAAATGGTCCAATTGATCCATTTTGTAACGTAGACGTGCTTATATGATACTTTTTTTAGTACAAGGGCTTATGTGACGGTTTGGAAATAGTACAAGGGCTTATTTGAACCTTTTTCCTTCTTTTGATGATATAATGCTTGTTCTGTAGTGATCCATTCCAGCATTTGCGGGAATACAATCCTGGTCAAGGAGTGGGTGTATATAGCTTGGATTGGTTGCGAGATCCAAGGTCTGTGAGACTGATATTCTCTTATTCTATCTGGTTGAAATCAATAGTACATTCCAAATTTAGTCTCTCATTCAAATTTGACTGTCAATGGTGAAGGTGTATTCTTGTAGCTTGCGATGATGGAACCCTAAGGATTCAGAGTGTGGTAAAGGCTGCCAATGACTTCCATGTGTCCGGAAAACCACTCACCATATCTAAACAACATGGATTTCACACCTATATGCGGTCTTCCTATGCAATATGGAGTCTGCAAACTTCAAGGCGAACAGGTTGCTTCTTCTCTCTTACTGAAAGATGAATCATGGTTTTATAATCTTTTATTGGGTTGGAATCCTGTGTCCCAGTGTTATCTCTCTTGCGTAACATTCATTCAGTTTGATATATGTCTATCAATTAATAGCTTCAAGGAGTTATCATTAACTATTAACATGATTTCACGGAATATATGAGTTGCTATTAACTTCAATAGCAACTCTTTTGAGCTGGTACATTCACTTAATCTGGCAAAACTCAGCTGCTCCGAGCACCAATCAAATATAATATAATGACAGTATGAAACAAACATTTTACATGTCCCGGCCCGTCTCAATACTACAACAAGAACATCCCAACCTTAATCCCAAATGAACTTGGGGTTAACTTATGAAATTGGAGCTAAAAAGATTAAAAGTAAAAAAGATAAAATAAAAATAAACAAGACAAAAAGGATAAAGAACATAAGAACGATAAAAAAGATCGAAAAGATGAATTAGAAATATAATCATATGATGGCAAAATTGCTTAGTTCTGGTAAGATGATCTTCCATAAAAAAGCCCGAGTTCTATGTCCCAAAGCGCAATCTAGAACTTCACCATCTATGAGCTCTCAAAATTCACTATGCTTCAGAGAGCCATTATCTTGCGCAAACTCATTTTGTTAATTGGTAACTGTTATTGGATTAACTTGTAGGATGGATCCACACCAATCAAGTATAATTGATAGAAACATGCATATAAGTCTGGCTACTTGTGAATGAGAAGCCTGATTAGTGATTAGCCTCACTAATGGCTACATAGTTCATGATTGCCATGCCAAGCCGCCATTATGGGTTACATATAGTCATATCATGATAGGCAAATAGCTACAACAAACTCATATATAAAGTTCTGCACTACTACTATTTGTATTAGATTGACCTCTAAGATGAAAGCAAGTCAACAGTTACCAACCTCTCTATTTTCGTACTACATAGTTCCAAGTTATAAGAGTAATACTAACAGTTACCATCCCCTCTATTTACATAATTCCAAGTTCCAAAAAGGGCAACAAGAAAGAAGCCTCATTTGCACCTTTTGAATTGTAACATGAGTGATAAATGGCCTCATTATGATGACTCGTTCTATAATTTATATGTTCGTTCTTTAATTTAGAGGTGGTGGCATATTGCGGTGCTGATGGTACTGCTGCCTATTTCCAGGTACGTCATTCATCATGGTACTTTTTAATGCTCAAGAGCAGTGGTGCTTGTTATACTTATCACACTCATTCATGTTGCTACTGCATGCTGAATGGATATGAGATATCTAGTTTATTTTGTTTATTATTATAAGCAGTTAACTAAACAAGCCGAGAGCGACGCCGTCAGAAATCGAACTCCACATTTTCTTTGTGGATCATTTGTGGAGGAAGAATCTGCCATAACAGTAATTTCACCAATGCCTAATACCCCATTCCGAATGATCAAGACAAACAAGTGGACAGATTTGTTGAGAACCACGCGCACTTCTGCATCAGGATCACCCAATCAAGAAAAAAGAACGAAGGGGGATCAGTTGAGAAGTCCTTCGTCAGATAAACAACTAGGTAACATTTCGTCTACACTTGCATCGAAAGAAGCTTAGCTGTTAACTTCGCATTTGAATAGTATTGTCATCTCTGCTTGCCAGTTCTGTATTCTGAGGATGGATCTGATGATCAAGCTCTGGCTCACAAGAACAAACAGGCGCCTAAATTAAAAGCAAACAACATTAAGGAAACAAAAGCTGCTCAACCACCACCTTTCAGTGGTCAAGTAGATGGATATGAACTGCCTCCCAAGAGTGTAGCAATCCACAGGGTGAGATGGAATATGAACAAAGGCAGTGAGAAGTGGCTATGCTTTGGCGGAGCAGCCGGAATTGTTCGCTGCCAGTGGATCGACACTCCCGCTTACTACTGATCACATGCTCATAAATACCATGTAATCATATTTAATTCATTAATTAAACAATGTACATATGCATCATATCATTAATAAAATATCCCCCCCCCCCCAGAAGATGGAACTGCATATATATATGTACATATATAAATATTTTGAAATTCCAAAATTTCCAGCTTTCCCGGGTAAAAAAGAATTACATAGTGAGATAGAATATTGTATAATGATAACTTTCTATTGATGAGATGAACGGCAATGTAGGTTTTTTAGTTTCATTTTGTTCTTCCTCCATCTCCTTGCTTCTGTAGCTGCCAATGCCTGTTCAGAGTTTTTGACAGGGAACGTGACAACACGTTGGTCCTTCAAAGACGAGTCTTGCGTTTTTACCTGTCCAGTAGAGGTCATTGATGAAGCCATGAAGTCTGCTTGCTCAGGATGATGGGTTTCTAGACCTGACTGGAAATGGAGTGTCATTTTAGTGTGAACATGCTTCGTTGAAGAAATAGAATCTCCTGTCTTATCTTTCCCAGGTAGTGAAGAAGAAGATTCATTGTGGTCAGAGTAGGATTGGGGGAAATATTGTCCTGGGGAGTGAAAGGGGATGAACCAAGGCAATGGCAGCACAAGAAGTGGAGTAGTAGGCTCTCCAACACTGCTGATGATAGAATAATTTTGTGATCCATGTTGCACCACTGGAGTGTGGTTATAAAAGGAGTGAGCTGTTGATGTTGAAGAAGACATCCCTTGTACTGGATAAGAAACTTCATGTGTTCCCTGTATCTCTTCCTTGACTGCTTTAGTCATCTAACATTACCATTAAGCATTGAAATGCGTTAACAAAAAAGAATGGGAAATAAGTTGATTAGATTTCAGTAGGCCATATGCCAAGTAATACGTAGTATTATATTTGGAATAATAGTGTATTTGTAGGGTTTTATATTTAGTGATATCTTTTTCTTTATCAAATTGTAAATCCCTTCTCTAAATCACGTTAGATTCTTTATCTCCTATTGCTTAGACAGCTGGACTCATATACGTATTATGTTAATTAATATAATTGTGCATTCAATATTATCTGTCTGTTGTCTTAGAGGCTTACACTTGCAAGCACATTCGATCTTAACAGGGTAGCTGCTATATATAAATCACGAGAAATAGCTGAATTCCTTCAGGGCTTGATTTCAAATTCAGAGGGACGGAGAGTTTTGATTTTTATTTTATTTTTTTATTTTTTTTACATTTGAATTATAGAAAAGAAAGTGAAGAAAAAAACCCAACAAATTCAGATAAGTTAGTTAAATAAAACCGGTCCTCAATAAATATAACTCGTGCCAAACAAAGCACTGGTTTTCTGTAGCAAGGGAGCACCCACTGTTGAATCTAAAACAATTGAAAGTCCAACTTGTAAGTTGTAAGTGGCTCTTTTACCTGTGCTCTTAGCATATCATTTGTGCTTTTCAAACCATCATACTCTTTTGCTGCTAACTCCTTTTCCTATACATCAGAGCAGAAAGTCTCAGAAAGATTATACTTCGTTAATCTTTGAAAGCTTGTTCCTATAGGGTGCATTTCACCTCTCTCAAGTTAAAGGTTAAAGTGATAGTTTTATTGTACTCCCTCCGTATTTGAAAGCTTGTTCCTATAGGGTTTTGACAATTTTTAATAAGTTAAAATTGTAGAGTACTTAATACTTAATAGTGTGCAAAATCGAGAATTAAACAAAAGTCGGAATAAGAGCCCGTTTGGTAGCACGAAAATCGGCTGTTTTGGCTGATCCTGCTGAAATTTATGAATTTCTAGCTAAAGTGGCTGCATTGGCTGATTCTGCTGATTTAAAACACAATTATTTTTAAAATATATTTTATTAATAAAATAAAGAAAGAAAAAATTATATGTAAAAATAGCTAAAATGGTCAACACAATTATTTTTAAAATATATTTTATTAATAAAATAAAGAAAGAAAAAGTTATACGATAGTATGTAAAAATAGCTAAAATGATCATCTACAGTAATTTCAACCAATATAGTCAGAACTCAGAAAGCAAAAGTTACGTTTTTGGAAAGAAAGAGAAAGAAAAATAAAAACCAAGGACAAAAGAAATAAACTACGGAGTATAGAAGATGTGAAACTTTTTCAATTGAAAATGTGAAATAGACCACCCTAATCGTCATATTTAAGAATCGCCCACTCACACAATCTCATGAAAAACATCAAAATAACACGTTTGTTACATCTTAAGTGCCAAAATACTGTCCAAATTATAGGGAAACAAAAATCTTTATGGTTTTAATATTTTCCTTTTGTTACATCTCCTTTCCTTTTCTCTTGACCATATTCCAATCAGAAATTGCCTTAAATAAAAGTAAAAATGTTTTGAAATTCCAAAACATGACTATCATGTTTTTTATTCTCTGAATAGGAGTAGTCTGTCAAGTTTGGAATAAAATGTCATGTTTAAAGCCTAGTGATGCCAAACTTGGCAGAAATTTACTCCTGTTCATGGAATAAAAAACATGATAGTCCCATTTTGGAATTTCAAAGCGTTTTTACTCCCATTTAGGAAATCTCTATTCCAATCCACACCCGGCCCTTGGTGGTCCACATTTTTAAAAGTATATACACTCAATTAAATTTGTTATTTGACTAAACATATTTTTGAACAAAATATATCTCTATTATGCCCTTCCTAAAAAGTATGATATTGAAAAATGAAAATTAATAGTTAATGACGATAGTACTTTTGCGTAGGGTTAAAATAGCATTTTATCACTCAAAAGTTTAAACACGATTATGGGTCATCCCAACAAAGAATGTGAAAACCTAATTGCGAGATGGAGAGCATTTTTCTGAGTGGATTAAATGTGTCTAACAAGTAACAACGACTAGGTTTAGTTAATACTCCCTCCGTCCCATAATTATCTTCATTCTTTCCTTTTTGGTCCGTCCCAAATTTATCCCCTCTTTCCTTTTTTAGCAAAGGATTTGTGGTTCACAACCATTCTTACACATTTCTCGCTCCTCTGCACAACTCTCCACCACACATTTTCCACTTTCTTAATCTCCGTGCCCAGTCAAAACCGAAGTTAATTCTGGGACGGAGGGAGTAATAGTTTTGAAAGAATGGCACCAATATAATTAGGGGAGTTATGATGTTCAAAAATATGAGAATTATATGGCTAGACATAAAAGTAACCGGATCCGTCTTTCTTCTCCCGTTTCTTTCCTGGGCACTTCTTCCCAGCTCATCATCTTCTCTTCGCCTCTTCTCTGCCCATTTCATCTCTCCGCAAAATCCTCCGCCTCTTCTCTACGCAAAATCGTCCGCCTCTTCTCTGCGCATCTTCCTTGTTGTGCCAAACCTCCGGCCTCGTCTCTACCTCGGCTCCTCACCTCAGCCTCGGCAGTCGCCGCACCTTACACTCGCCGTACAAACCGCCTTGCCTCACCGCACGGGTTGCCTCATTTCATCGTAGCCTCTCCGCCTTGCCTCGCCTCGAAGATGGATGAGTTACGGATTACCAGATCTGTGGCTACCAGATCTGTGGCAACCAGAAAGCGAGCAAACCAGATCTAGGATGGGTGGCGGCTAGGCTGAGGTGGAGGCTCGTCAGGGATGTGCTACGCTGGGCTATTGAAGGTGGGGCTGGGAAGGGGTGTGTCGATGTTGGGCTGTTCGGAACCGGAGCTGGGGGAGTGAGCTGGGGAGGGCAGGGGAGGGGATTGGGGTAGGGGAGGGGGTTAGGGCTAGGGCTGGGGGCAGCTCAAAGCACGGGGGAGTGAGCTGGGGCGGGGCAGGGGAGGGGATTGGGGCAGGGGAAAGGGTTGGGACTAAGGTTGGGGGCAGGTCAAAGCATTGGTGGGTCATTGGGGGCGGCGGTGGTCGGAGGTTTTGAGGTTGAGGGCTGGGGGTTGGTGAACGAAGAGTTTGGCGGCTTGGGCTGGACAGCGGGACTGCCGTAGTAGTAGTTGTTGTTGGCGGTGTGGCGCCAGACAAGGAGCCGGAAAATTTTCCGGTGATCGTAGTGACAGGGCGGTGGTAGCGACCGGAGTAACTTTTGGCGGGTGGCGTCACTGAAAAATCAGTGTAACTAGGTAGTGACAGCGTCACTATTGTGTCACTTGATCGTTGTCACTATGGCCGGCGACGGTCTCCGGTGGTGGCGATGGTCACCGGTGGGAGGTGGTGGCAAGGAGGGTGGATGTCACTGTGTCTCGTGTCACTGTAGCGTGTCACTGTAGCGTGTCACTGTAGCGTTTCACTGTAGCGTTTCACTGTAGCGTTTCACTGTAGCGTTTCACTGTAGCGTTTCACTGTAGCAGTGTGTATGTATAAGCAAGCTTGTCACTTATTAGTCATATTTCATGAATTTTTAAAAAAGGTCACTTTTTTGCCTATTGCCCTTTTATTAGTAATATTCAAGACAAAAACCCAATAGTTTTCTCAGTCTATTTGAAACACAGTCTAGACTTTAGACTTCAGAGTTAAATCTTCTATAGGAAATTATGAGAAAAAGGACGCGCGTTAAGGACCTTTGGCAGTATGCACTAACGAGAAGAGTATTTATAATAACAAACCTGTAAATAGAAAGGAGGATAGAAAGAAATAGGAAAACAATATTCACAAGCCATAGCAACCTTTTAATAATGTTTATCGATTCATTAAAAAATATGTTTATCGATGTGGTAAAACATGTTCATTGACCGTTCTTCATGAATTCGTGTGTGCAATTAAGATTCGTGTGTGGTAAAAATGTTTATCGATGTCTGTTATTCTATTATATGTGTATTTTAGAATTATCGAGATTTGTCTAGTGTGGTCTAGTTGATGCAGTTTGTTTAAGTCTATTGCTCTGGATAGAAACAAATCCAATTAAAAAGAAATTTTATAGGGAGTGGAATAAATTGAAAGCTAGAGATAACTTAGGAAGTACTAGTATTTGCAAATCGATTGTCAAAGTGATTAAAAAAACAATGATTAATACGGAGTAGTAAAAATTGATAGTGTTTGAGAAAAATCAATTTTGAAAAGTAAAAGTTGGTACTGTTTGATAAAATATGTGTTTTTTGTGTAATAGAAAAAGTAAAAAAAAAAATTCAACTTTTAGCTTTTAAGTATTTAATTTAAATAGAAATTGACACTCGAAAAATACCATTTCCAACTTTTTTAAGCCAAAAACTGAAAATCATTTTTAATTTTTTTTTGCAAACATACCCTTGAGAACACTATGTAGAACAAAACATTAGTATTGGGATTTGGGGCCATTGGTATAGATTGATATTGAAAGTGATGCTTAAAAGTACAAACCTTCTTCAAATTTTGATTCTCGGACACCAAGTGAGCTGCTTTTCGGATCAACTCGTCATACATAGCCTGCACCAACAAATTCAAACAAAGAGATTCAATTCCATTAACGAGACACGCACTATATTCATTTGACCTCACCTAGTCACCTAGGTAGTATGTACTCTATTCGTATGTTAACGGTCCACTAACATTGAGATATGAGTATCTGGTGCGATTATTAAGTCACAACTCTTACCTGCCTACGGCGGATTGTTTGCCGAGCAGATTCTCTGTTTGCAACAACCCGACGCAGCCTTTGAGCCTCCTTCTCTTCCTGCACAAAAAACACAAAAATGAAGTGAGAACTCGTAGGAAGTCATTATAACTTCTTACTAGTAAATGAGAAAGACTATATATTGACTTTGAAGCACAAAAACTCGAGTACAATTTTGTTTCGAAAACTTGTTACTTTTTTTTTAAAATTAAAAATGAGGTTTCCTATTTCGTGTTTACCCATGATTCCGATTATTAAACCGAATCATGATCAATTTGAGTTTGTTTAATTACTTGCCTCTGCCACACTTCGTCTGGATTTACACCCAGTGATTGAGGAATAATCATAATCGCACGATGAAAATAACGTCCTTGATGATGAGTTCAAAATCTCAGTCCTTGATGTTAATCCTTCTTTTTGCGGGTCATCCCCTCTCTCTTCACCATCCTGCGCCTATAATAAACACAACCACTTATTTAACAAATTATATACCCCTAACTTAGCTTCCATCAAAGCTTCGACAAGTTTAATCGTCTTGTAAGAAATAGAGTAATAAAATAAAAATTACGATAGTATGTGATTGATATTGGTACTATAGGAAGAGAAATAATACTCCATCCGCCTTAAAAAAAATTTGCCAAATTGATTTTTTGTTTAGTCTCAATTAACTTTGAGTCTTTGACCATTGATATTTTTAATAGAAAATTATTTTGAATATGAAAATTATATCAAAATGTTCTTTATTTAAAAGATTCGCATAAAAGCATAGAAATTATAAGTTATATATATATATGTGTGTGTACACACATATATATAATAATCAAAATCAAGTTATATAGTATATATAATAATTAAAATCATTGATCAAAGTTCACCATCATTGATCAAGAAAGTCAATATGACGAACCGTTTTGGGGCGAAAGTAGTATGAAACATAAAAAAACCCAAAAAAAGTGAAAGTGCCGATGTTTTTTAAACTTCCGAAGAGGAAAGATGACAAAATTATATGTGGTATAGAAGACCGTACCCCACCGGAGAAGAGATACAGATCTAGCAGTGGTGGCGGCGGAGATGCATGTCCGGATGCACCGGGACCTGTAGAAGGATCGGGGAGCATGGATGAATGCGCTAAGCCGGCTAACGCTTGAGCCGCCTCGAGTTCACCACAGTCCACCATTTTCCTATTACCTTCGTCACGCTCATTATATCCCACGCACATACCGCTCCTCCTAAAGGCCATTATTACTGTCACAACTTGAAGTTGGCTGGGGCAGCTGAGGCCTTGGAGGTTTAGCAAGAAAGAGGAGCGATTTGTGATTTGTATAAAAACCGGGCACTTTCTGTAATTTATTTTTGTAGGAGGAAGCTTTGCCCTCCCATGCAATGACACGTGGTCTGCCACTTCTTGACACCATGCCATGCGAGGGCATGTATCCAAGAACGCCACGTGTACTTGGGACCTACCAAGCCCACATCTCGCTGCCACGTGCCCGTTTCTTAAGGGCCTGCCTGGCTTAAAACGTTTCTCGTCCGCGAAAGGCCAATGCTTGCAAAAATAGAGAAATAATATTATAAGCCGACGATAGAATCTTTGCAATGAAGGTTTAAGTTGAAGAACAAAAAAACGAATAAATGAATTGAAGGTTTTAAAGCTACATAATCCGTAAATTTTTGAAACAGCTCTTGGCTGGGTCAACAGTCACATTGATGGGTCGCTTATTATTTTAATATTAATATACTGATAAATAATATTGTGAACTTTTTATTTTTCCCAATAAGCCCACCTTACTATATATACCTAATATAATTAATTTTTTTGTATGATAGTGGACTAGTGGTTGATACAGAAAAAATTAAGGGAGTGTTAATTACACAAATGATTCTTATAATAATTAAATACGCTATCCCGTATTGCATGTGTATTATATTCGCAATTCCACACCACTATTTATTTGCAGCACTGAGCATTATTTATTTAAATAGTAAAAGAAGAAATAATTACATAAATATGACCAAAATAAAATGGTTTACAAAAATATGACTAGTTACTAGAGTACCAATGAAATCATAGTAATTCATGTTCAAGTTCACGAAGTCAATAACCTATTATATATATAAATATATAAATACATAAATATATATATATATATATATATATGTATATATACATACACATATACACTACATACTACTTGAAGTAAAATATTATAAACCGTTATTAATCAACCTAGCTTGTTCGATATTTATGGGGTTGGCTTTATTTTAGGGCACTATTGTAAAAAGTTTATATTTTGTTACTTTTATGTTTTGAATATTAATAACATAATATCTCAACAATTAATTAAATATTTGTGTTAATCGATGAATTATACTACCTCGGTCTCGTAAAGAAGTTCTCACTTTCTTTTTATGTATGTCCTAAAAAAAAATTCCCATTTTTATAATAAGAAATCACTATTATCCCAAAAGTCATCACTATGTGTGTAGGTCAAATCGGGAACTTCATTGCGGGACGAAGTATTAGCTTTAATATTGATTACACCAAAAATTAGATACGAAAGCATAATAAGCTAGGATAAAAGGGAAGACGACCCAATTAAGGAAGAGAAAAAGGTCAGGCAGTGGCAGAGGCGGCGGAGATGCCCATTCCGGCGGCGCATCCGGACCTCCCTGTAAGAAATTAAGGCCACGGAATGTGTTAAGCTAGCTGGCCAAGGGTTGATCGAGCCGCCGCCACCGCCGGTTACAGCTAGTAAACCATGCATGATCGATCATCATCACATCCGAGGCACAGAATCATCTTAACGGCCGTTATTTTGACACGTAGGCCAATCGGCTGTAGAGGATTGCAAGGAGCAAATTTGGGGCGGTCGATCTGTGTATTCCAACTTTTTTTCCTTTTTGTGGCTGATGAAGCAGAGTGGAGGATCAGCTCGGAAACTTAGCTCCCTAGGAAAGTACACGTGTTTCTGAAGCTCCACCACGCCATGCCATGTGAAATGCGATGTTTCCACGATCGCCACGTGTTTTTACCACCCAAGTAAGAGCATCTCCGTTACAATGTTACGTGAGCGATAACCATATAAATATTAATAAATAAAAATTTGAATGGTTTTATACAATTTTAGTAAGTTTTTCTCCACAATGTCAAGGTGACTGTGTAGATGTTGACATTGCAGGAACTGTTGAAGATGGAGCCTTGTTATGAGTTCTGGTATATACCCGACCGGGTATGGTAGGTTACCCGACCGAGTATGAGTAATTAAAAAGTTTACTCGGGTAACAACCTGTGTTCTATACTCGATCGAGTATGGAGGTATACTCGGTCGAGTATGCGTAATTATCTTAGTCGAGGAGCAGCCTGGAATCTATACCCGATCGAGTATGGGTGTATACTCGATCGAGTATGCGTAGAAACCATACTCGAGTAGTAGTCTGTAATCTATACTTTATCGAGTAAGGATGTATACTCGATCGAGTATACGTGAATCTCAGTTACGGGATTAATTTTGGGCCTGCGGCTCTAATCACTTTTTAGGTTTCCTTAAACCTATTTAAACACCTCTAATGTATCTGTAAGCAGACTAGACGCCGGAATAATAGTAAATCTCTCTCTCGTTCTCCGTGGACTAGCACAATCACCCCGATTGTGTGAACCACGTAAATTCTTGTGTTCTTGCTCTTTAATTTATCGTTTTTGATCTTAATCCTTAATCGTAACAATTGGTATCAGAGCTATGGCTGACGAAGGGAAGGTTAAGATCGACAAATTTGATGGTCAAGATTTTGCTTTCTGGAAGATGCAGATCGAGGATTATCTCTACCAGAAAAAACTTCATCTACCCTTGTCTGAGAACAAACTAGAGACGATGGCGGAGGCGGAGTGGAACTTGTTGGACCGACAGCCTCTTGGTGTGGTGAGGTTGTCGTTGGCGAAAAACGTTGCTTACAACATCGTCAACGAGAAGACAACGTTTGGACTGCTCAAGGCGTTATCCAACATGTATGAAAAACCCTCAGCTGCCAACAAGGTTTTCTTAATCAGACAGTTGGTGAACACAAGAATGAAGGAAGGTGCATCCGTAACAGATCACATCAACGAGTTTAATTCAATCATATCCAGGTTAGGCTCGGTTGAGATTAAATTCGATGATGAAGTTCAAGCATTACTTTTGTTATCATCTTTGCCCGATAGTTGGTCCGGTACAGTCACAACGGTTAGTAGTTCGTCTGGAACCACTAAGCTTACCTTTGAAGGAATTCGTGACTTAATCCTTGGTGAGGATATCCGGAGGAGGAGTTCGGGGGATAGCTCCAACAGTTTGTTGAGTACTGAAGATAGGGGCAGGAAATCCACTAGAGGGGGTAACAAGAAAGGAAGATCAAAGTCGAGGAAGAGAGGTCAATCCAAGAATAGGAAGGACATCAATTGTTGGAATTGCAAGGAGAATGGACACTTCAGAAATCAGTGCCCAAAAGCCCCTGCAGACAAAGGCAAGAAGGAGGTGAACGTGGCAGAGGATTATGAAGATGTTCTAATTTGCAGCGTTGAAAATTCAATTGAGTCCTAGATCATGGATTCAGGTGCGTCGTTTCATGCTTGTCATTGCAGGGATTTGATGAAAAATTTCAGGCCCTACCGCGGAAGAGTTCGTTTGGCAGATGACAAATCCCTGGAGATCACGGGTATTGGGGATGTTGATCTCAGTACCACTTTGGGTACAACCTGGAGGCTAAAAGATGTGAGGTATATTCCAGACCTGAAGAAGATGTTGATCTCAGTGGGACAGCTTGATGAGGAAGGCCACAACGTTAGTTTTGGCAACAAACAATGGAAGGTGACAAAGGGAAAGCTGGTCATTGCTCGTGGACAGAAGCATGATACACTGTACATGGTTGAAGTGTCCATAGATGGAGCAAACGCAGCAGTTGAAGATACAGGGATCTCTACGTTGTGGCACCAAAGACTTGGGCACATAAGTGAGAACGGAATGAAGATGCTGTCTTCAAAGGGCAAAATCCTAGATTTGAAGAATTCAAAGTTGAGCTTTTGTGAGCCATGTGGTCTAGGCAAGCAAAAGAGGGTAACCTTTGTGAAGACAGGACAACAACCCAAGACTGAGCGGCTGGAGTTGATTCATTCAGATGTCTACGGACCTACAAAGGTCTCTTCGATTGGAGGTTCCCGCTACTATGTTACATTCATTGATGACTCTACACGGAAGGTATGGGTTTATTTTCTTAAAAATAAATCTGATGTCTTTAACACTTTTAAGAAGTTCAAAGCTGCAGTTGAGAATGAAACAAATCTCAAGATTAAGTGTTTAAAGAGTGATAATGGGGGTGAGTACAGTAGCACAGAGTTTGTAGAGTATTGTGCTGAACAGGGGATCAGAATGCTGAAGACGGTTCCAGAAACACCACACCAAAATGGTGTTGTAGAGAGGATGAACAGAACACTGAATGAGAGGGCCAGGAGCGTGAGATTGCATGCAGGACTTCCCAAGATGTTCTGTGCCGATGCGGTGAACACAGCAGCGTACTTGATCAACAGAAGACCCTCATCTCCCATAGGTTTCAAAATTCTAGAAGAGGAATGGAAAGGTCGAGAGGTATCTCTTAATCACTTGAAAGTTTTTGGTTGTATTTCTTATGTCAAAGTTAGAGATGCAGATAGTGTTAAGCTCGAGGCAAAGGCAAAGAGATGTATCTTTATTGGGTACGGGCTGGATGACATGGGCTACAGGTTCTGGGATAACCAAAGTAAGAAGGTTATCAGAAGTAGAGATGTCACCTTCAACGAGAATGCCCTATATAAAGATGGACTTGCAGCAGATACAAGCAAAGGCAAGCAACCAGAAAACAAACAACAAGTGGTCTTTAAAGGGGTGACTGAAGGTGACATAGCACAACCTGTTGGTTGTGATGAGACGAATGGAGGCTCAGGGAGCAGTGGAAGCTCAGGAGATACAGGAATTTCTGAAGATAGTGGGAGTGATGAAGACAGTGGGAGTTCAGAAGCAGCTACTCCACACATTAGACAGTCCACTAGAATCAGAAGACCTCCTAACAGATATTCTCCTTCAGCAAACTACCTGTTGCTGACCGAGAATGGAGAGCCAGAATCTTACTGAGAGGCACTAACCATGAAAGATTCCATACAGTGGAAGAAGGCCATGGAGGATGAGTTAGATTCACTTGACAAGAACCAAACTTGGTCCTTAGTCAAGCTACCACCGGGAAAGAAAGCTTTGCAGAACAAGTGGGTGTTCAGAATCAAAGATGAAACAGATGGCAGCAAAAGATATAAGGCAAGGCTAGTTGTCAAAGGGTTTCAACAGAAGAAGGGGGTTGATTACAATGAAATCTTCTCCCCGGTTGTGAAGATGACTACTATCAGGTTGATTCTTGGTATTGTTGCTGCTGAAAATTTGCATTTGGAGCAGCTGGATGTGAAGACTGCCTTTCTTCATGGCAACCTTACAGAAGACATTTACATGGCTCAACCAGTAGGTTTCCCAGTGAGTGGTAAGGAGAAATTGGTGTGCAAACTCAAGAAGAGTCTATACGGACTGAAGCAAGCTCCTAGACAGTGGTACTTGAAGTTTGATAGTTTTATGCAGCGGAATGGGTACACTTGATGCAAGATGGACCATTGCTGTTACTTGAAGAAATTCGAGTCATCATACATTATTCTTCTTTTGTATGTTGATGACATGTTGGTGGCTAGATCAAACATGCAGGAGATCAACAAGCTCAAGAAGAAGTTGTCCGAAGAATTTGAGATGAAGGATTTAGGGGAGGCGAGACAGATTCTTGGGATGAGCATAGTCAGAGACAAGGTGGAAGGTACTTTAAAGCTTTCACAGCAGAAGTACATTCAGAAAGTCCTTGAGAAGTTCAGAATGACGGATGCCAAACCAAGGAGTACACCGTTAGGGAGTCAGTTGAAACCCTCCAAGCAGCAGTCTCCGAAGACCAATGAAGACAAAGATGAGATGACTAAAGTTCCTTATGCATCAGCAGTTGGCAGTTTAATGTACGCAATGGTGTCAACAAGGCCAGACATTGCTCATGCAGTGGGAGTTGTTAGCAGGTTCATGTCAAATCCAGGGAAGGAACATTGGGAAGGAGTCAAGTGGCTGCTACGCTACTTGAAAGGTACCTCTGGAACTGCTCTTTGTTTCAGAAGGAATGGTGTAATCCTAGAAGGATTTGCCGATGCTGATTTGGGGGGCTGTTATGATTCCGGGAAGAGCACTATGGGTTACATATTCACAATTGGAGGTACGGCGATCAGTTGGATGTCTAGACTACAAAAGAGTGTGGCTCTTTCAACCACAGAAGAAGAGTATATGGCACTTGCTGAAGCGGCCAAGGAACTGATTTGGTTGAAGAACTTTCTTTCGGAGTTGGGCATGAAACAGGGGGATTGCGGTCTATACTGTGACAACCAGAGTGCTATTCATCTCGCAAAGAATCCAGTGTTTCACAGCAGAACGAAGCATATCAAGATGCGATACCATTTCATCCGAGAGTTGATTGAAGACGGTATCATAAATGTGAAGAAGATCCTTAGTACGAAGAATCCAGCAGACATGCTTACCAAGGTGGTGACAACGGAGAAGTTGAAGCTATGCATGGCTTCAACTGGCCTTCCAGATACTTGATGAGAAGACGTGAACGAGAGAGAGAGAGAGATCAGGTGTTTTGCAGAGGATACATGCTCTTGGATGGCAGATGATTGTGGAACAAGCCTCCAAGTGGGAGATTGTTGAAGATGGAGCCTTGTTATGAGTTCTGGTATATACCCGACCGGGTATGGTAGGTTACCCGACCGAGTATGAGTAAAAAGTTTACTCAGGTAACAACCTGTGTTCTATACTCGATCGTTCTATACTCGATCGAGTATGGAGGTATACTCGGTCGAGTATGCGTAATTATCTTAGTCGAGGAGCAGCCTGGAATCTATACCCGATCGAGTATGGGTGTATACTCGATCGAGTATGCGTAGAAACCATACTCGAGTAGTAGTCTGTAATCTATACTCGATCGAGTAAGGATGTATACTCGATCGAGTATACGTGAATCTCAGTTATGGGATTAATTTTGGGCCTGCGGCTCTAATCACTTTTTAGGTTTCCTTAAACCTATTTAAACACCTCTAATGTATCTGTAAACAGACTGGACGCCGGAATAATAGTAAATCTCTCTCTCGTTCGCCGTGGACTAGCACAATCACCCCGATTGTGTGAACCACGTAAATTCTTGTGTTCTTGCTCTTTAATTTATCGTTTTTGATCTTAATCCTTAATCGTAACAGGAACAAAACCCAAAATTGTATAAAATCATTCAAATAAGAAGATAAATAATTTATTTGATAATATTTATGTGACCATCTCTCATGCGACATTTGCATCGTGCACATTATAGCATTTGAGATTATCTAAGCAATTCCAGGTCTCTCTGTCATGTGTCTCTTTTATAAGGGCCCGATGAGGGGGTGCTGGCGGATCTGGTGGCCGGTTGTACGCAGGGTGAAGGAGAAAGAAAAGGATAAAGGGAAAATCAAAAAATGAAAAGGATAAAGGAGGGTGGGAAATGACGTGGATGCCACATGTTTGTTATGTCAGGCCACGTGTGCGCCACATGTGCACCACGTCAGCAGGTAACCTGCTAAAAGTCGGTTTTGATGAAATTTTCGAAGTAGGAGGTTATAATTGAAGAAAGTTAAAGTAGGGGGACATAATTGACTTTCCGTACAAAGTAGGGGGCCAATTTGACACTTTTCTCTTTATTTTATTACTAGTATGTCCACCCGTGTGTCTGATGCTAGTCTTAATTAAGTTTTTCCAGAAAGTAAAAATGAAAAATAAAGTTTAACAAAAAAGAAAGGAAAAATACACATAATGAATAAACGTCTCGGTCTCATGCCAAATATTCAATTTGTGTTATTATACGAAAGTATATACTATGTATATGTTATACATTAAATTGAAAATACAAAAATGAATACATAATCAAATATTATTACAAAAAAAAAAAAGTTAAAACACGTTAGTTGATGAGTGTACTGTAGTTTTGAAATGAAATTGATTACCGTTTTACATTTCAATCTATCACATTAAGTTTGTCTAATACCATATTTAATAAGTCTAACCCACCATTTCAATCTAGATTTTGTCTAATCTTGAAAGATGTATCTATAATCAATTGGATTCGTTTAAACTATGATTGATCGATTCACATACAATTCACTTCCCATATAATTTTAAGAAAAGCTCTAAACATCGATCTTACTGTATATCGATCTTACATACCGTGCACTGCATGGTTCATACTCTGTAGTTTTATTTTTTACTTTATTTTTTAATTTAATTTTAATGTTTTAAGTCATTTATCTATTTTGATATTTTTACTATCGTTTCTATTTTTGTTTCTATGCATTTTTTTTTTATAATTTTCATAAAATTCTTCAATTGTCCTGTTGTTTTAAAAAATGACCTCCAATAGTAGGTTAAATGACTAGATTAATTGTGTTTTCAAAATAAACACACTCATATAATGGTCTTTAATGTATAATTTCAAGTGATGAATTTGAAATAGTGAAAAAGTGTAGTTGAATCTTTTCTCTTTGCTACTACGAACATACTTATTTGTAATTAGGAATATTAGCAATTTTAAGCATGTTTTCTTTTGGACTGTTTTCAGTCCCAGATCAGACTAGAACAGACCAAACTTCCGTAGTTATAAAATATACAGAGACCAGACGTTTAGAAGACTAGACCAGATCAGTTCAAACCAGACTAGACCAGACCAGATCAGACCACACCAACAAATTTTAGTCCAAAAGAAAACATCCTAAAAGTGTGTGGAGGTGGATGATATATTTAATATCAACTCACTGTACTTCTACTCCATAGACGGTAATATGCATAAGAATTATTAACAACACTTTAATAGAGATTTTTTAGACTGTATCGTGTAAATGTTAAAGTTATTCTAACAACACTTTGAATGTGTAGAAGTAAAAATAGTTTAATAGATATTTTTATTACTTTTTATGAACATAGTCGCTTAGAGTTTTTAATAATAACTTAGAAGAATTTGTATATAGAAATGTGATATCAATTAAGATGTTTTCAGAAAGATCAAATAGAACATAAACATAGCAATGAAGATCATAGACTAATAATTAATGAATGAATGTTATTAAATTATATACTCCGCATGACATTATATTTAAACCTGACATTACACATAAAATTGTGTGCAATGTAAAAGTAATGAGTTTATGATAATGGCTATGTATTTATAAATAGTTGGAAGTTGAATAGGATTTCTTTTATGTTTGTATATGTTGAGTCTAGGAAGTTGAATAGTTTTTGTTTTATTTACCCTTTTAAATACTTATAAATATTGCACACATATGGGATGCTTTGTACTTGTGCTTATGTTGTGTTCTTATGCACTTCATACATAAATGCTAAATATGAATAGAGTAAAATTAATTTGTGATGGTGTTGACACATGTCAAATTTCAGAGTAAAGAGTGTTGCCATAGGTAAATTACACCGTACAACCGGTTGTAACTAGGGCATATATGGTACAACCGTTTTTTTGTAATTAACTGCAACTTTGAGCCTTGTTGTTTAGTCTTATCTTCATCCTTCGCACAGGTTTTGTCCGCTTCTCCCAGCTCTATTTTGTTCCTCTCTTCTCTACCGCATTCAACCGCATATTCTCTCAAGCTGAAGATTCTCGTTTGGTCATCAATGCAAGTAATATTTTTTTCCATCGATCATTATATTGTTGAACTGTTATTTTCTTCTTCCTCCATTCCTCTATTTCTATATATCTTGCTATAGTTGATCTCTTAAACGAATTTGTTTGCTCGGTTTTCTTTTCATTTTTTCCCTTATTTTGCTTCATATTTGCTCCAATTTTGAAAATTACAATCTATTATTGCCTTGATCAATTTTTCTTCTTTTGTTGTTTCCATCTTCGATCTTACTTCTTGTGCTTCTTCCACAGCTTTCATCATTCTCCTCATCTTTATTATTTACTTTTGTTGGTTCTTGTACAGATTTAGGTTTTTGCAGTTGTTCTCAATTCCGACCACTGAAGGTGTAAGTAATTGTTCTTAGGTTCTTTTCTTCTCTCGTTGGAACAAAATAATTTTTTTTCATTCAGTTCAATTTTTTTTTATCCAAGAATTGATGTTATGTCTAGTTGTGGAGGTAATTTTTCAAGGAACACCTTCACTATATTTGATTTCTTTTGATGAGTATTTCTTTACTTAGTAATGATCATCTTTTTTTTTTGAATTGTTGTCCCCTGTCTAGATGATATTTCTTGCAGTGGCAAATTAATAGAGGATATTAAGGCTAGAGGCAAACTTTTTGAAGTTGATTGCAGTAATATTTTCTCTCTTTACAAGTCACATAGTGTTGTTGTTTGGTCTGTGTTGTTTACTTTGAGCTATTGTTATTTATTTGTACATTTTTATGGATTCAGATTACTTGGAATCTGGTGATACCTTAAGTGATTTTTTTTGTCTAGAACAAAATCTTTTGTTGTCCTACCAAGTATTGTGTTTTCTCACATTTTCTCTTCGTTATGTTTTTTGTATTCTTTTGATGAGTATTGTTTTACTTAGTATCACTAGCTTCGTTATCCCCTGTCTAGATGATATTTCTTGCAGTGACAAATTAATAGAGGATATTGAGGCCAGAGGCGAACTTTTTGAAGTTGATTCTAGTAATAGTTTCTCTCTTTACAAGTCACATAATGTTGTTGTTTGGTCTGTTTTAGGAAAATGCAAATGCTGAAGAAATTTCACAAGCTTTTGTGCTCTAGTGAATCTAATTCTACAACAAGGCAATTGTGTGAAGAATCTTTTAAAAAGTTGAAACTGGATGTTGAAGATCAAGTTGGAAGCATTTATTTCTTTGATAGTGATTCTACCTCATTTGGTGTGAGTTCAAGAATATCTAATCCAAAGACTTCAAGGAAAAAGGATGAAAGAAATGTGTGTTGCAAGAGTCTTATTGAAGTGAAAACAAATATACACGTGTGCAATACTCCTCCCTCCGTCCCTTTAATATTTTCCTTTTTTCGGACATCTAACACACATTCTTCTCAATATGAGAACAATATTTGTTGGCTGTGCATGGCAGCTAATGCTTTTTTATTATAAATAGCATAAAAAACTGCATCAAATTCACCACCCAATAAAAACAATCTCTCGTGCCTAACCATATAATCAATCCTTCGTATTTGTTCATATCAAATATGTTTCGTTATATCAATTTCTTCTTTTCACGCTTATTAGCATTGAATCACACTCTAGCAACCCAAATGGCAAAGGAGGGTTGTCCTGAAAAGTGTGGAAGCTTAACCATACATTTTCCACTTGAGATTGGAAATGAGTGCTAATTTAACGAAGAGTATGAGATGAGTTGCAACGAGAAAACCTGTGTGACATCATTAACATATCTGGGTGGACTACACGTATACAACATATCAACAAACTACATTGGTGTTAACGCGGGTGAAATGCATAAATGGTTCCTTAACTATTGATATTATTGCGTTTTAGTACCATAACTCTTAAAAGAATCAAATTTGTACTATAACTATACGTAAATGTTTCAACTTGAGAAACCAAACATTCTTGCCCAGCTGGTTGTGAGGTTACCATGCCTAGTGGGATGTCTCGAGCTCGAATCCCGCTAGGCTCATAAGGGTTCAAAACTCAATGAAGTGAGTTTCAGTCCTGATTACTCCTTCATGGAAACCAAAATTCCATGTGTAGAGTCAAGTGTGATTTTCTTGTTGGAAAATTGAATAACATTGTAAGTTGAAACACTTATGTAGAGTTAAGGTACTATTTTTATTCATTTAAAATTAAAGTACCAAAATGCAACAATACGAATAGTTAAGGTACCATATAGGAATTGGGATATTTTGACTTTGCACCCGCTTTTTGGGCTATATTAGACTTTGAACCCTTGTTTCAAAGCTTTTAGATTTTGCTCCCAATTTCCCCTAAAAGGTTTTTGCCTTTTCACCCCATTAACTAATTTTTCTTCACACAATGTTGTACGTTAGGGTGCAAAATCTAAAAGTTTTGAAAATGGGGAGCAGAGTCGAATATAACCCAAAAAGTGAGGTTTAAACTCAAAAAAATGATTTTTCGTATGCCTCATAAAATTTTCCCCGGTTGGATTTAGAACAGAGTTTAAAAAAGTGAGAATAAAATGAAAATGTAAGGTTGTGGTTAAGTAAGAAAAACGTAAATGAATGTTAGCCGGTAACCACGCATTACTTTTCAAAAAGGGAAATGAGAAGAATCTGTGTTAGACGTTCGAAAAAGGGAAGAATTTAAAGGGACAGAGGGAGCAATATTGCACAGGTGTATAAAGTTTACAATCTAATATTACTCCATTATTTTCCCTATTTCATTTTCTTGATAACATGCAATACCGGATAACATTATTTTTTACAGGCATTGGAGTCGTCTTTTGTATTCTTTTTATAACTTTTGGCTAAAAGCAATTATTAAAAAAAAGAGAAAAAAGTAAAGATGAGGAGAAACATTTTTTCGATCAAAATGGTGGATTGCTTTTGGAACAAAGAAATCTTTGAGTCAAGAAAACGAAACAAAAGTATTCACCATAAAAGAGATGGAGTTGGCAACAAAGAACTTAAACAATGAGCGAATTCTCCGTGTAGAAGGAAATTGTAAGCTCTATAAAGGCATGCTATCAAATGGAAAGATAGTAGCTATCAAAAAATCTTTGCTGTTAGAAAAGGCGAAAATATTTGTCTTTATCAATGAGATATCTACTTTATCTCAAATAAATTACTGACACAGTGAAAATTATCGGTTGTTGTTTGGAGGTAGAAGTTCCATTGATTGTATGAGTGTGAACGAAATTGTAACTTAAACTAAGCTTCATGGTCGCGGCAATACCAACTTCAATATACTATGAGTCCATGAGAAGATCGTTTGCGCATCGCAACAGAGATAACAACTCGACTTTCTCACTTGCACTCTTAGGCTTCAATAGCTGTATTTCATGGAGATATGAAACCTTCAAACATATTTGATGAAAACGGTTAGCAACACAAGAGGGGGGGGGTGAATTGTGTGTGTGGAACCGTGGCAGTTTTTCGCCCAGTTCTAGTGCGAGGCAAAGGGATATACGAAATAGTAAAGTGCACAAGGATTTAACGAGGAAAAATCCCTTGGCTCAAAGGGATTAAAAAAACTCGACCTCCCTCGGAGGAATTTTGACAACTTCACTAAAAAGCCTTTGTATGATTACAAGGGAAACTCTCATAGTCTACCCTTGAGCCACCCCAACTCTATCCTCTCTAGGAAGAGTTATGCTTCTCTACCTTGCGGGTAGAGAGCCTCTCAGCTTTACAACAAAGCTCTCACACACACAAACCTACCCGAGGAGGCTACTCTTAGCCAATCCTCAAAACCCCATTACAATATGAAGAAGGGAAAGAAGAAACTATATCTAGAACTCCGAGTGAGCAGTTTCAGACGCCTTGGACTTTGATATTTCTTTTGTGAATATGTCTCTTAAGATTTTGTCTCGGTCAAGCTCTACTTTATTTCTATTTGGCTGCTTCGTTTATATATGCAGTCTTGGGCAGACCGTTTGAGCATCCTTCCTTGAATAGTTGATCTTCTAATCTTGGGACTTGCCTTGATATTTTGAATTGCTTTCCTTTCATAATATTTCCCATATTCAAGCTCAATATATAAGGCAGCCAAATAAAGATATTTAAAATATCACAACTATAAATTCAAGGTAGCAAATAAGTCACGCACATATAGATATTCACTCAGCATGTATAAACAAGCAAGCAAGGATTAATATCCGTATAAAGAAAGATAGTTACGTTAATTCACTTATCACCAAACCATATATAATTTAGTCAAGGAGCCTTTTCAAAAGTAATAAATAATTTACTTAAAAATAGACATGCACGGTCAACATGAAATCATGCATTAGCAAGTAAAGATCCTTTAAGATATTTATTTTAATATCTCAATCAAAGATAATAATTCAAACCGTAAGGTAAAAGAATATTTACTTAACAAACATAAGTTTATCATGGTCAACTCTTATAAAGATAGCAAGGCACTTAATTAGCACACATACGTATGTTATGGTCAAAAGGATTCTTTCCATAAAGAATTAGACTAATTTGAGTGGGTATCCCATCATGCATGGAAAGAGATTGTGTTACGTATAATTATAATATGCATGACTACATCAAATAAGATCTTGACACGTAGGTGACAATTCAACCCAACCATAGTATTATTATGCAAGCACATATTAATCATGTATGTCACCCGTTCGCACAGAACAGAACTAAGGATAGTTCTGTCTTCCGTTCCGTATGGAACTGAGAGTGGTTCTGTTCATCGTTCCACCTGCATGGTTAGTTATCAACAAAATATATATGTCCGTTGTAGGATAGTTCCGGGTTTAGGTCTACGGCTTGTTCCAAAGCACGACTTATCTTCCTTTCCTGCAATCACTTATAGACCAAAAGTAACACTAGTCGTTTGTCATCAACAAAACAATATGTTCCAACAATATTGCTTCATGAAGATATGAGATCCATAATATCTGACTTTGGGACATCTATGCTGATGTTCGTTGATACGACACATCATACCGTTATTGCACTCATATTTACATATGGTTATGTGGATCCTAACATTTTTACTACGTGTAAACTGACTGACAATCAGGATGCTTATGCATTTGGTGTAGTATTAGTAAAATTATTAACCAAAGAAAGACCTCTAACTATATAGTTTGAGGTCTTTCTCTGGTCAATAACTCTACTAGTATTACACCAAATGCGTATGCATCCTCATTGTTAGTCTCTTTATGCGTAGTAAAAATGCTAGGATCCACATAACCCTATGTAAATACGAGTGAGACATAATACCGTGGTTGCACTCGTATTTACATACGGATATGTGCATCCTAGTATTTTTACTACGCATAATGTGACTGACAATCAAAAAGATGCGTATGCATTTTGTGTAATACTAGTAGAATTATTGACCAGAGAAAGACCTCAATCTATATTCGAGAGCACTAATGATCTTTTGGTGAGCACATTTAAGTCAACTATGCAGGAAGAGCGTTTGGTTGAGATACTAGACCCTTTTCTCGTGGAGGACAATATGGAACAAATCAAGTAAGTTACATTAACTACAATGAAATGCTTGAAAGAGGACCCAATTCAGAAGTCAACCATGTATGAGGGAAGTAGGTGCTGACCTTCACGGACTTATTGACACAACAAATGGTGTCAGGCAGAGTACGCAACAAGCTTTGATGACTCTTCTAGAGTTAATTCAATAAGCCAGTTTCACCTTCAAAGACTTATTGATGCAAAAAATGGTGTCACGCAGAGTACGCAACAAGTTGGTGATGACTCTTCTAAAGTTCATTCGATAAGTCAGTTTGAGATACGAGAGAACTCTACAACATCTAGTATGTATGATGATTACTATTAAAAATTTTGGAAGAAATGTTGAATTTTGATCAAGCTTGAACATAGGAATGCGTGCAACGTTTTTTGATGTCATGCATACGTGTACAATTGTTCGTGGTTTTCGGTTAAACCGGAATTGGAATCCGAACAACCGGTTTTTGAACCGCACCAGAACCACTATGCAGTTTCTGTCCGGTTAAAAAAACCGGCAGTTCTGATTCTGGAAGTACTAAATGAATGCATGACATAGAACAACGTTGCATGCGTTCCTATGTTCACGCTTCATCAAAATTCAACACTTCCAAAAGTTTCTATGGTAGTCATATACATGCTAGATGTTGTAGAGTTATCTCGTATCTCAAACTGACTTATCGAATTAACTCTAGAAGAGTCATCGCCAGCTTGTTGCGTACTCTACTGGCACCATTGGTTGCGTCAATAACTTCTTGAGGGTGAAACTGACCTATCATATTAACTCTAGAAGAGTCAACAACAGCTTGTTGCGTACTCAGCGTAGCACCATTTGTTGCGTTAATAAGTCCTTGTCGTTCAACTTCTACTTCTCTCATACATGGTCGACATCTTAGATCCTCTTTCAAGCATTTCATTATGGTTACTGCAACTGCCTTCATTTGTTCCTTATTGCCCTCCACGACAAGAAAAAAGTCTAATATGTCAACCAAACGCTCTTCCTGCATAGTTGACTTAAAAGTGCTCACCGAAAGATCATTAGTGCTATCGAATTTAGTTGGAGGTCTTTCTCTGGTCAATAATTTTACTAATACTACACCAAATGCATACACATCCTGATTGTCAGTCAGTTAACACGGAGTAAAAATGTTAGGATCCACATAACCATATGTAAATACGAGTGCAACCACAGTATGATGTGTCATATCAACGGGCATCGACACAGATGTCCCAAAGTCAGATATTATGGATCACATATCTTCATGAAGCAATATATTTGAAGGCTTCATATCTCCATGAAATATAACTATTGAAGCCACAGAGTGCAAGTGAGAAAGTCCAATCGCTATCTATGTTGTGATGCGCAAACGATCTTCTCATGATGGCCTCATAGTATATTGAAGTTGGTATTGTCACGACCATGAATCTAAGGTACCATTTCGTACACACTCATATACAATCAATGAAACTTCTACCTCCGAACAACAACTGATAACTTTCAGTGTGTCTGTAATTTATTTGAGATAAAATAGATATCTCGTTGATAAAGACAGATATTTTTGCCTTTTCTAATAGCAAGTGTTTTTTGATAACTACTATCTTTCCATTTGATAGCATGCCTATATAGAGCTTACCAATTCCTTCTGCACAGAAAATTCGCTTATTTTTAAGTTCTCTGTTGCCAACTCCATCTCTTTTATGGTGAACACTTTTGTTTCGTCTTCTTGACTCAAAAGATTTCCTTGTTGCAAAAGTAATCCATCTTTTTGTAAAAATGTTTCTACTCATCTTTATTTTTTTCTCCTTTATAATAATATTTTAGAAAAAGTGTCAAATAGGCCCCCCTACTAATACGGAAAAGTCAATTAAGCCGCCAAAATAAAAAACACTCAATTAAGCCCACGAACTATAAAAAACGAGGCAAAACAGTCCTTTTAGCAGGATATTAACCGTTCCCAGTTATTTGCATGTGTGGCAAATGATGTGGCATGCTTTTACATTTTCTTTTTCTCCTTTTCTCTTTCTTTCCTTTTTTCCTTATCTCTTTTTAACCGCTTAATTACCTGCTAAAAAGACTGTTTTGCCTTGTTTTTATAGTTCGTGGGCTTAATTGAGTGTTTTTTGAGTTCGGGGCTTAATTTACTTTTCCATATTAGTAGGGGGCATATTTGAAACTTTTCCCTAATATTTTTTTTAGCCAAAAACTATCAAAAGAAGACAAAAGGGGACTCCAATGCCTGTAAAAAATAATGTTATCTGATATTGCATGTTATTAGGAAAATGAAATAGGTAAAATAATGGAGTAAGACTAGATTGTAAACTTTATACACGTGCAATACTCCACCCTCTGTCCCTTTAAATTTTTCCCTTTTTCGGACGTCTAACACACATTCTTGTCATTTCCCTTTTTGGAAAGTATTGTGTGGTTACTAGCTAACATTCATTTACATGTTTCTTACTTAACCACAACCATATATTTTCATTCTATTCTCACTTTTTTAAACTCTGATCCAAATAAAAATAGGAAAAAACTTATGAGACAGACGGAGCACAATTTTTCAAAAAAACATTTTTTAAACTCAACGATTTCATCTCTCTTTTCTGCCGGGTTCTAAATATGAGAACAATATTTGTTGGCTGTGCATGACAGCTAATGCTTTTTTATTATAAAAAACAGAAAGAGCTGCATCAAATTCACCACCCAATAAAAACAATCTCTCGTGCCTAACCATATAATCAATCCTTCATATTTGTACATATCAAATATGTTTCGTTATATCAATTTCTTCTTATCACGCATATTAGCACTAAATTACACTCTAGCAACCCAAAGGGAAAGGAGGGTTGTCTTGAAAAGTGTGGAAGCTTAACCATACATTTTCCATTTGGGATTGGAAATGGGTGCTAATTTAACGAAGAGTTTGAGATGAGTTGCAACGAGCAAACCCGTGTGGCATCATTAACATATCTAGGTGGACTACACGAATAAAACATATCAACAAACTACATTGGTGTCAACGCGGGTGAAGTGCACAAATAGTTCCTTAACTATTGATATTTTTTTAACCCCGTTAGGTACATAAGGGTTCGAAACTCAATGGAGTGAGTTTCAACCCTGATTACTCCAGACCCTCAGCCCCTCCCCCATACCCCCTGGTGTAAAAAAACATGTTTCGAATTGAGATTCTATTTTAATTTGCGGTCAAAATATCCTTCATGGCAATCAAAATTCCATGTGGTGAGTCACCCTGTATTATCATATTGACAAAAATAAGATGAACTAGATTTAACACATAGAATTCCGACCGCCACATGTGATTTTCTGGTTGGAAATTTGAATAACATTGTAAGTTGAAACATTTATGTAGAGTTAAGGTACTATTTTTATTCATTTAAAATTAAGGTAGCAAAATGCAACAATACCAATAGGTATGGTACCATTTATGCATTGGGATATTTTGACTTTGCACCCGCTTTTTAGGTGATAGTAGACTTTGAGCCCTTGTTTCAAACTTTTAGATTTTGCTCCCAATTTCCCCTAAAAAGTATTTGCCTTTGCACCTCATTAACGAATTTTTCTTCAGAAAATGTTGTACGATAGGGTGGAAAGTCTAAGATATTTGAAAATGGGGCGTAGAGTCAAAGATCACCCAAAACGTGAGGTGTAAACTCAAATTTCCCTTGTGTATTTCACTCGCGTTGATATCAATGTAGTTTGTTGATATGTTCTATACTTGTAGTCCACCCAGATATGTTAATGATGCCACACTGATTTTTTCGTTGTAGATCATCTCAAACTCTTCGTTAAAGTAGCACCCATTTCCAATCCCAAATGGAAAAGGCATGGTTTAGCTTCCACACTTTGAAGTACAAACCTCCTTTGCCATTTGGGTTTCTAGAGTGTCATTTAGTGCTAATAAGCATGAAAAGAAAATATTGATACACCGAAACATATTTGATATGAACAAATATAAAGAATTGATTATATGGTTAAGCATGAGAGATTTTTTGCTTGGATGGTAAAATTGATGCAACTCTCTGCTTTTTATTATAAAAAAGCATTTCCTATCATGTACAGCCAACAAATACTGTTCTCAGATTTCAAAACCTAGCTGAAAAGATAGATGAAATCATTGAGCCTTGCGTACACATATGGTTGAGCAAATTAAGCTATCTTTAAAAAATGATTTTTTGAAAAATTGTACTCCGTATGTCTCATAAAAGTTTTCCTGGTTCGATTTGGATCGAAGTTTAAAAAGTAAGAATAAAATGAAAATGTACGGTTGTGGTTAAGTAAGAAAAATGTAAATGGATGTTAGCCAGTAACCACACAGTACTTTCCAAAAAACGAAATGAGAAAAATCTGTGTTAGGCGTCCGAAAAAGGGAAACATTTAAAGGGAGTAAGGGACAGAGGGAAGAGTATTGCACACGTGTATCAAGTTTACAATCTAATCTTACTCCATTATTTTACCTATTTCATTTTCCTGATAACATGCAATATCAGATAACATTATTTTTTACAGCATTGGAGTCCCCTTTTGATAGCATTTACTAAAAAATGTTATTAAAAAGGAGAAGAAAGTAAAGAAGAGGAGAAACACTTTTGCAAAAAAATGGTGGATTGCTTTTGGAACAAAGAAATCTTTTGAGTCAAGAAAACAAAACAAAAGTGTTCACCATAAAAGAGATAGAGTTAGCAATAATGAACTTTAACAATGAGCGAATTCTCCGTGTAGAAGGAAATTGTAAGCTCTATAAAGACATGCTATCAAATGGAAAGATAGTAGATATCAAAAAATCCTTGATGTTAGATAAGGCGAAAATATTTGTCTTTATCAACGAGATATCTATTTTATCTCAAATAAATCACTGACACAGTGAAAGTTATCGGTTGTTGTTTGGAGGTAGAAGTTCCATTGATTGTATATGAGAGTGCACAAAATTTTACATTAAACTCAGCTTCATGGTCGTGACAATACCAACTTCAATATACTATGAGTCCATCATGAGAAGATCGTTTGCGCATCACAACATAAATAGTGACTGGACTTTCTCACTTGCACTCTAAGGTTCAAGAGCTGTATTTTATGGAGATATGAAGCCTTCAAACATATTGCTTCATGAAGATATGCGATCCATAATATCTGACTTTGGGACATCTGTGCTGATGCCCGTTGATATGACACATCATACCGTGGTTGTCCTCGTGTTTACATATGGTTATGTGGATCCTAACATTTTTACTACGCGTAAAGTGACTGACAATCAGGATGCATATGCATTTGGTGTAGTATTAGTAAAATAATTGACCACATAAAGACCTCTAATTATATTCGAGAGCACTAATGATCATTTGCTGATCACCTTTAACTCAACTATGCATGAAGAGCGTTTGGTTGACATACTAGGCCCTTTTCTCGTCGTGGAGGGTAATATGGAACAAATGAAGGAAGTTACGTTAACCACAATGAAATGCTTGAAAGAGGACCCAAGAAGTCGACCATGTATGAGGTAAGTAGGTGCTGACCTTCAAGGACTTATTGACACAACAAATGGTGTCAGGCAGAGTACGCAACAAGATTTTGATGACTCTTCTAGAGTTAATTCGATAAGCCACATTCACCTTAGAGAACTTATTGACGCAACAAATGGTGTCACACAGAGTACACAACAAGCTGGTGATGACTCTTCTAGAGTGAATTCAATAACTCTGCTTGAGATACGAGAGAACTCGACAACATGTAGTATGTATATGGCTACTAATGAAAATTTTGGAAGTAGTGTTGGATTTTGATCAAGCTTGAACATAGGAACGTGTGCAATGTTGTTTGATGTCATGCATACATGTACACTTGTTCGCGGTTTTTGGTTAACCACATTTGGAATCGGAACCGCCAATTTTAACCGGACCGGAACCATTATGTTGTTTGCATTCGTGTAACACCGCTGCCCCACAGGACCCGGGCTAGTTACTCCAGACCTCTAGTACGTACTGTCCTCACAAACTACCACAAGCTTTTACCGCACACTTTGTCCTCACTCGTGCGCGCCCTGAGAAACTTCCCAGGGGTCACCTATCCCAAGACTACTCTTGTGCCAACACGTTTAATTTTGGAGTTCTTGGGTGATGAACTCCCTTAAAAGGAGATGCATCTTTGTTGGTTGTAACACTTGAGATTTAATATAAACGGATTAATAGTACTACTCATACCAACAGAGGTGCATCTCCTTTTAAGGGAGTTCATCACCAAGAACTCCAAAGTTAAGCGTGCTTGCACGGGAGTAGTCTTGGGATGGGTGACCCCCTGGGAAGTTTCTCAGGGCGCGCACGAGTGAGGACAAAGTGTGCGGAAAAGGCTCGTGGTGGTTTGTGGGGACAGTACTAGTGGTCCGGAGTAACTACCTCGGGTCCGGTGGGGCCGGGGTGTTACAGGTGGTATCAGAGCAACCCTGCGACAGTGTGCTGACCCGTTAGATATCGGGCGGGCACTTAGCGGGGGAGGATTCTGGAATTTGATTGAGATTTGAGATTGGTTCAAGGGCGCAACGAGGACGTTGCGATCCTAAGTGGGGGTGATTGTAACACTTGAGATTTAATATAAACGGATTAATAGTACTACTCAATGTATGAGCAGTGCTATTAATCATTTTGTTGGTATGAGCAGTGCTATTAATCATTTTAAATTAATCTCGGGTATTACAGTCCGGTTAAAAAACTGGAGGTTCTGATTCGGAAGTACTAAATGTATGCATGGCATAGAACAACGTTTGCATGCGTTCCTATGTTCACACTTGATCAAAATTCAACATTTCCAAGTTTTTCAATGGTATTCATATACATGCTAGATGTTGTAGAGTTCTCTCGTATCTCAAACTGACTTATCGAATTAACTCTAAAAGAGTCATCACCCGCTTGTTGCGTACTCTGTTGGCACCATTGGTTTCAACAATATCTCCTTGATGGTGAAAATGACCTATCATATTAACTCTAGAAAAGCCACCAACAGCTTGTTTCATACTTTGCGTACCACCATTTGTTGCGTCAATAAGTCCCTGACGGTCGGTTCCTACTTCTCTTATACATGGTCGACTTCTTAGATCCTCTTTCAATCATTTCATTATAGTTAATGCAACTGCCTTCATTTGTTCCTTATATCCCTCCACGACAAAAAAAGGGTTTAATATGTCAACCAAACGCTCTTCCTGCATAGTTGACTTAAATGTGCTCACCGAAAGATTATTAGTGTTCTCGAAAATAGTTAGAGGTCTTTCTTTGGTTAATAATTTTACTAGTACTACACCAAATGCATACACATCCTGATTGTCAGTCAGTTTACGCGTAGTAAAAATGTTAGGATCCAAATATCCATATATAAATACGAGTGCAACCATGGTATGATGTGTCATATCAACGGACATCAACACAGATGCCCCAAAGTATGATATGATGGATCCCATATCTTCATGAATCAATATGTTTGAAGGCCTCATATAGTCATGAAATACAACTATTGAAGACTCAGTGCAAGTGAGAAAGTCCGACCGCTATCTCTAGTGTGATGCGCAAACAATCTTCCCATGATGGACTCATAGTATATTGAAGTTGGTATTGTCACGGTCATGAAGCAATGAATCTAAGGTACCATTTCGTACACACTCATATACAATCAATGGAACTTCTACCTCCAAACAACAAACGATAACTTTCACTGTGTTTGTGATTTATTTGAGATAAAATAGATATCTCGTTGATAAAGATAGATATTTTCGCCTTTTCTTATATCAAGGGTTTTTCGACAGCTACTATCTTTCCATTTGATAGCATGCCTTTATAGAGCTTACCATTTCCTTCTGCACAGAGAATTCACTCATTGTTTAAGTTCTCTGTTGCCAACTCCATCTCTTTTATGGTGAAAGCTTTTGTTTCATTTTCTTGACTCAAAAGATTTCCTTGTTGCAAAAGCAATCCATCATTTTTTCGCAAAAATGTTTCTCCTCATCTTTATTTTTTCTCTCCTTTATAATAGCATTTTTAGCCAAAAGCTATCAAAAGAAGACAAAAGGAGACTCCAATGCTTGTAAAAAAAATATTATCTGATATTGCATGTTATCAGGAAAATGAAATAGGTAAAATAATGGAGTAAGATTAGATTGTAAACTTTATACACAGGTGCAATATTCCTCCCTCCATCCCTTTAAATGTTTCCCTTTTTCGAACGTCTAACACACATTCTTCCTATTTCCTTTTTTGGAAAGTATTGTGTGATTACTGGCTAACATTCATTTACATGTTTCTTACTTAACCAAAACCGTATATTTTCATTCTATTCTTAGTTAACCACAAGCGTATATTTTCAAAAAAACATTTTTTAAAGATAGGTTAATTTGCTCAACCACATGTGTACGCAAGGCTCAATGATTTCATCTCTTTTTTTAGCCGGGTTCTAAATATGAGAACAATATTTGTTGGATGTGCATGACTACATCTAATGCTTTTTTATTATAAAAAACAGAAAGAGCTGCATTAAATTCACCACCCAATAAAAACAATCTCCCATGCCTACCCATATAATCAATCCTTCGTATTTCTTCATATCAAATATGTTTCGTTGTATCAATTTCTTCTTTTCACGCTTATTAGCACTGAATCACACTTTAGCAACCCAAACAGCAAGGGAGGGTTTTCGTGAAAAGTGTGGAATCTTAACCATACCTTTTCCACTTGGGATTGGAAATGGGTGCTAATTTAATGAAGAGTTTGATATGATTTGAAACGAGAAAACCTGTGTGGCATCATTAACATATCTTGGTGGACTACATGTATACAACATATCAACAAACTACATTGCTGTTAACTATTGATATTGTTGTGTTTTAGTACCCCAAAAATTTTTTAAATGCATTAAATCAGTACCATATCTATACATAAATTTCCACTTGAGATTATATTCAAATTTGCGGTCAAAAAAATCTTCCATGGCGATCAAATTTCCATGTGTAGAGTCACCCTGTATTATCATATTGACAAAAAAAAGGTGAACTAGATTTAACGCATAAAATTCCGACTGCCACGTGTGATTTTCTTGTTGGAAATTTGAATAACATTGTAAGTTTAAACATGTGTGTAGAGTTAAGGTACTATTTTTATTCATTTAACATTAGGATACCAAAATGCAACAACACCAATAGTTAAGGTACCATTTATGCATTGGGATATTTTGACTTTGCACCCACGTTTTGGGCGATATTGGAGTTTGAACCCTTGCTTCAAAACTATAAGATTTTGCACCCTATTTCCCTAAAAAGTTCATTGCCTTTGCACCCCATTAGCGAATTTTTCATAACAAAATATTGCACGATAGAGTGCAAAGTCTAAAAGTTTTGATAATGGCGTGCAAATTCGAGTATCCCCCAAAAATTGAGGCGTAACTCAAAATTCCCTTGTGCATTTTATGCGTGTTGACACCAATGTAGTTTGTTGATATATTGTATACGTGTAGTCCGCCTAGATATGTTAATGATTCCACACTGGTTTTCTCGTTGCAGCTCATCTAAAACTCTTAGTTAAATTAGCACCCATTTCCAATCCCAAATCAAAAAGGTATGGTTAAGCTTCCACTCTTTTCAGGACAACCCTCCTTTGCCATTTGGGTTGCTAGAGTGTGATTTAGCGGCGTGAAAAGAACAAATTGATACAATGAAACATATTTGATATGAATAAATACGAATGATTGAGTATATGGTTAAGCATGAGAGATTGTTTTTATTGGGTGGTGAAATTGATGCAGCTCTTCCTGCTTTATATAATAAAAAAGCATTACTTCTCATGCACATCCAACAAATATCGTTATCAGATTTAGAACCTGACGGAAACGAGAGATGAAATAATTGAGCCTTGCGTACACATGTGGTTGAGCAAATTAAGCTATCTTTAAAAATGATTTTTTTTGAAAAATTGTACTTTGTCTGTCTCATAAAAATTTTCCCGGTTTGATTTGGAATGGAGTTTAAAAAGTGAGTATAAAATGAAAGTGTACGGTTGTGGTTAAGTAAGAAAAATGTAAATGAATGTTAGCCGGTAACCACACATTACTTTTCAAAAAGGGAAATGAGAAGAATGTGTGTTAGACGTCCGAAAAGGAATGAATTTAAAGGGACAGAGCGAGGAGTATTGCACAGGTGTATATAGTTTACAATCTAATCTTACTCCATTATTTTACCTATTTCATTTTCTTGATAACATGCAATATTAGATAACATTATTTTTTATAGGCATTATTGGAGTCCCCTTTTGTCTTCTTTTGATAGCTTTTGGCTAAAAATGTTATTGAAAAGGAGAAGAAATTAAAGATGTGGAAAAACTTATTTGCAAAAAAATGATGGATTGCTTTTGGAACAAAGAAATATATTGAGTCAAGAAAATGAAACAAAAGTGTTCACCACAAAAGATATAGAGGTTGCAACGGAGAACTTAAACAATGAGAGAATTCTTCGTGCAGGAGAAAATGATAAGCTCTATTAAGGTATGCTATCAAATGGAAAGATAGTAGCTATCGAAAAACTCTTGTTGTTAGAAAAGGAGAAAATATATGTCTTTATCAACGAGATATCTATTTTATCTCAAATAAATCATAGACATAGTAAAAGTTATCGGTTGTTGTTTGGAGGTAGAAGTTTCATTGATTGTATATGAATGTGACCGAAATGGTACCTTAAATGTTTTGCTTCATGGTTGCGGCAATACCAACTTGAATATATTATGAGTCCATCATGGGAAGATCGTTTGGGCATCACAATAGAGATAGCGACAAGACTTTCTCAGTTGCATTCTGAGACTTCAATAACTGTATTTCATGAAGATATGAAGCCTTCAAACATATGGCTTCATGAAGATATGAGATCCATCATATCTGACTTTGGGTTATCTGTCCTGATGCCAGTTGATATATATGACACGTCATACTGTGGTCTCATTCGTATTTACATATGATTATGTGGATCCTAGCATT